TCATTTTCCTTCAGCTCAGTCCTTTTGTTCATCAGGGTTTGCCACAGTGGAATGAACTTCCAACTTATGCAGAATATGTTTTACATAAGGAAAACACCCGTACACTCTCACATGCACACTCAAACATCACGGCTAATTTAGTTAATCAATTCCTCTACTTTATACCACACGTCTCTACAAATTTGGTAAGTGTGTGATCAATGTTTGTTGCTTATGTTTATTCAGATGACAAAGTTAATCAGTATCATCAGCAGTACTCTTTGAGTTTTAAAGACATACCTTAGTCAAAATGAATTTAGTTACTAAGTTTACAGTGATATCACTACAATATTAATTATTGAAAATCCTCCACTTCCACACAGCTCCCAGATCCACGCTGCTCTCAGAATCACTGTCTATCTCCTCTGCGTCTGTGTTTGGGTTGCTGCTGTGAAAATCAGTTGTAGTGCACGTATCAAAACTCCTCATTTCAGGCTAACCCTTCCCTCTTTCGCCACTCCACATTTCCACCAAAACAAAGCTTGACTCACCCACTTTCCGAACTTTTTTCAACCTAGAGGTGTCAAAACACCCTGCTGAGACAAGGCGGGTTTCATGGCTCTTTAATGTACAGTATATTGTCTTTGATGTGAACTGTGTACTGTATACTGATGTACTCTGGGAAACATGACAGGGTGAATGTAGAGAATGAAGAGTGTAACAAATATGGCCAGTCAGACACATATTTAATTTGCTTTTATTCAACAAATTATACACTGTCAACTTCTCCTACCCAGAAAAGACTTGTTGTTCACAATGTAATGTGTGTAAAGAAATGTGATTAGAAATTGACATAGAAAGAACTTCTATAAGCTTCTCACTTAAGTCTTTCAGTCATTCATTCATTTTCTTTTTGGTTTAGTCCCTTTATTAATTTGGGGTCGCCACAGCGGAATGAACTTCCAACTTATCCAGCATATGTTTTATGCAGCGGATGCCCCTCCAGCTGCAACCCATCACTGGGAAACACCTATACACTTTCATTAACACACACTACGGAAAATTTTAGCTTACTCAATTCACCTGCACCGCATGTCTTTGGACTTGTGGGGGAAACCAGAGCAAGGACAAAGAACTGACTATTTTTTTATTATTATTATTTTTTTTTTCTGAGTATTTTTGCTTCACTTTGTTTGGTCTTACAAAATCTGAGGTTTTTCCATCATTACACTTTCTCAAACCCTTATTTATTTATTTTTTTTGTTTATTCTTCTCTAAAACATCAATGTGTATGCAATAGCTGTAAGTGATGTCAACTATCTGTTTGAATGATCGCTGGATGATTTATTTGCTCAGACTTCAAGAGTCAATTCTTTTACAGGACCATTTAAATGAATCTTCAACTCCCTTTGAGCTAATTTGCTACAAGAGAGAGAAGAAATACAGGGAACAGATCTATAAACCACAGTACTCTGTTATCGGACGAAATTTCCACCTTCTCTCTTCCTTGACAAACTGCATTTAGAAATATTCCTCCTCGTGTGTTTCTCTTATCCACATCTTTCACTTGTGCGACCATAAAGGTCACTTCTAACAAGCTCTCTCTGTGAGAGTTTGTCATGACATTCTTCATGTAAACTGTTAAACCAGATCAATGCAATTAGCCCACACTCAAACAAAGCCAGGTGAAAACTGAAAAACAGATGAAAGGCCATTATGATGAACTGTTTCCAATGCAGCATGTAATAATGCTGGCTGTGTGTGAGGTCATCATAGTGTCTGTCTGTATTTCGCTTTGAAAGGCTGTCGATATTAATGTTATAATATCCTATACTTTGACTCATGAAAAAGTTGGTAGGGGCTGAAATATCTTTTATCTCCGAGTTAATGGGCATACTATAACACAAATCAATATGATGAATGCCTGGCTTTACAGCAGAAAGCAAAGCAAGCATTGCTGAAAAAAATGAATCAATGACGATTCAATAAAAATACAACTGTATTCCTCCCATTACCTCTTAATATCCTTTTTTACACTGCACCAAAAGACAGTGAGGCAATACAGAACAGACTATGATTGCAGTTGGAGCATGAAAACGTCCACTCCAGAGGGAGTTATTTGCTATATCAGCAAGTGCTGTTTCTAAACCCCTTCAAACACCTTGACTATAGTCTTGGCTTTTTCTCTGTGAACGGACACTACATAATACTGTATGCTGTATTTACATAACTGCTTGAGTTGTGTAAGTGTGTCATTGTCTTGTCCAAGAGACACAGATTCACAGATCTTAGATACTGATACAGATACAATTTCTTCCCCAACTGTTTACTTTCACAGACATAACCACCATTATGTAAGCTTCCCACACAGCAAAATGTCTCTGGCCCAGATCTGGCCCACACAATTAGTTTTTCCTTGACCCACATGCCACAGTGAATTACGGTACATGACTGTACCAAGCCTAGCTTCCATACAATGGCTAAACATGGACCATATCTGGGCCAGGTACATTTCCTTGGTGTTTTTTTAGCTTTGCTTTTAAACTGTATAACTTTGGTCAAATGTTTTGGGTATCCTTCTACACGCTTCTCACAATAGTTTGAAGGAATTTTGGCCCATTCCTCCAGACAGAATTAGTGTAACTGAGTCAGATTTGTTGGCTGTCTTGATCGCACAAACTTTTTTAACTCTGCCCACAACTTTTCTATAGGATTGGGATCAGGGCTTTATGATGGCCACTCCAAAACATTCACTTTGTTATCCTTCAAGCACACTTTAACTAATTAGGCAGTATGCTTAGGCTCATGGTCTGTTTGGAAGACCCATTTGTGGCCAAGTTTTAATTTCCTGGCTGATGGCTTGAGATGTTGCTTCAGTATTTCTACATAATGTTCTTTCTTCATGATGCCATCTATGCTTTAAAGTGGACCAGTCCCTCCTGCAGCAAAACAGCCCCACAACATGATGCACAACATTACTCATTTTCCCAGTGTAATTTAACAAATTGTAATCTGTTTTTTTTTTTTTTTTTTTTTGATTCTGGCTTCTTGATTTTCCCCATGTTGTCACAAAAGAAATCAGTGTGTTTGAGGTTTTCCCTGAATACTATTCTACAGTTGTGCCACCAATTAACTTAAATGTTGTCAATCAGCCAATCAGAAACTTCCAAAACCTAAAAACTCAGTTAGTTCAAACTAAACTCAAACTAAAAGTCGTTTTGTGCAACAGACATTTAGACCTCTATCCTAAATTCTGTTTGAAAATAAAGATTTTTTAAACTGAGTGAACTAACCCTTCAACAGAAGCGTGCCCATCTTTTATATTCAAGGGTTATGAAACCCCTCTCTTTCAGTTCAAGTCTACCTCAGAATTTTTTTTAGAAAATGCTTCATAATGGGTGTGGAGCGCTGCGAGCAAAGGGAGTAGTGGGCATGGCTGGCAGAGCAAGGGAAAAAAGTGGGGCAAACAACTGTCAGTTGGCTTACAAAATGAGACCCAAACCATAAGGAGATCCATGATTTTATGGTTTACAGAGTTAAAATGCTAAGAAATAAACAGTAAGTAATTTAATGCCCTGCTACATACGCTATTTGTAATTTCATATACATATAACTACAAATTGTTATGTCATTATAAAGATAATTATGTTTATATAAACACTATAAATGAGGGGGGCTTCTCTCCTTCTGAGACCCTGGGTCTGAATGCAGACACAATGGATAGCAGTTCAGCAGGTCTCTTGCCCTATCTACTTCAACCATTAGCCCTGCCGGTAAACTGGATGATTTTAATCGAAGGCAAACTTAGCAGCACAGATATAGGCAATGTGTCTGAATGGTAATGAACTCAACTGATAAAAGAAAAGGTCTGGCATTCTTCAGTTCTCGTACAGCTCTCCTGTCAAAAATGCTTGCTGCAAACCAACAGCTTTGCCGTATCAGCCCTGACAGCGTGAATAATTAAGAAGAAGGGTCTTCTCATAGGATAAGAAAACTCAGCTATGAATAATAATGAGAAACCGACACATCATCTCTGGACAGGCAGACAAGCGATTTGACACCGATTTTGATCCCGTCCTAATAATGAATTTAAACCCGGAAGATGAAATTAGCTGACAAAAGCTCAAAATCACCCAGTTTACAATGAAAGCTAACATGGGCTAACGTTGTCTTAAATGATGCTCAACACACACAAATCTGTTAAAATCTCAAAAAAGTACTTAAGGGTTTCTTAAACGTTGAAATACCTTTTCCAAGTTTGAGTATATATTAAATAATGTATATAATCTGAATATATAACATGCATATACAGAGTCACATGTTTTCCTTTGAAAACTAAAACACAGCGCTTTTCTTCACAGTCACTCTTTCTTTTTCTCTGCTTTTTAACAGAGCAACATAAGCTGAACCAGTCAGCATTAGTGGAAAAAATTACATCATGTTTCTACAGTTTGTTGTCATGTTGATTTTCTCAAGTTAACTGGAAACTAATTGTTAAATAATATAAAGTGAATCCTTCCCCTGGGTAGGTAAATCTTCCTTTTGATTTTGAACAAGAACTTTTTATTTTTCCAACCAAGGCCAGATGGGAAAATGTTTAAACAAACTTTATTCTTTTAAATCCATTTGCCTCTGGCACAGAAGTTGCATAGTTCACCTTTAATAGCTTTTTTTTGAGAGATGCATTTTGATCACGCAGTTACTGTGTTAATTAAGGTCTGGTGTTGTTTACGTAAGGTAATTGGTTTTCCTTATGAAAATAACATGGAAATTGTGAAGGGGTGTTACGCTTCCGCTGCCCTGTAAAAACGAGGCCTGGGGGTTAACCATATGCTCACAGCCAGAACCTGGATTACAATGTGAAGGTACCTGTGATAAAACATCAGTCAAGCCACAGGGAGGGGGAATAAGAGGCATATGAACATTATGACTGATGGTTTGGACACATAAAGAGACACAATGTGTCATCTGGAAGACTAGGAGAGGTCATTGATACATGCTAGAAAAACAAGTAGGCCCACCTGTGAGTGTTTGGAGACCCAGTGTCGCAAGACATTCAGGACTCTGTTAGTAGCCGCTCGACGTATAATGAACTCCTTGTCACAAGTCCTCTCAGAGTTGTTAAAAACTGCAAAAGAAAAAAAAAACACTGTGACCATACTACAAGCAAACTTGTAATATCCAGGCTCTCGTTTTAGATTGTAAAATATATTTGCATATAGATTACATGTGACCAATGGTATATTTTCTTTATTTAATACATTACCTTGTGAAAGTAATCGATAGTGCTGCATAATATGTAGAAATCAATATTCCAGTATGGCTTAGTGTGTGAAACTGTGCAGGCTGCAATGTAATTAAATACAAATATGCGCAGCTGGTTTCAGAGTGAAGCGTGGTGTTTGATATCATGAGCTGATCAAAAGTGCAAATGAAAGCAAGTTTCACTCTAAAACTGACAGTGCTCTCAACCCATCAAAAAAATTGTAGAAGAAAAAATAAAAATAGTAAAATATAACCAGCACTGCAATTTTACAGGGAAATGCATTGCAGTGAATTATTATTATTTTTTTTTATTGTAGTACCGTTATATTATTGCACAATTTCTTATTTTGGTTAACATTTATAGTAATTATTCAATTATTATGTCTTACTGATATTTTTAATTCAAAGCAGCCTTTTGAACACTAGTAAACATGCTGTTGAATTTACATTAAGGCAATTTTCACTCAAAAACTACATTTCACAAATAACTGCAAAACGATCATAAAGAATTAAACAAGCAGAAAACAAAACAGTGTTTTGAAAAATGTGATCTAATAATAGCATCAATCTCACAAAGTCTTGTTTATTTAAATTATATTTTTTGTGAACTGTTACTATTAGAAGTTATTCTTATGAGCAAACATTTCAGCATCATTAATACAGTTTTGATTCAGAAATCATTAGGCTATAATAAGCTATAATATGCAAAAAATTCCAATTACTTAATTTTTTCAACCACATTAAAATGTGTACATACAGTGCTGCATACAGCATAATTGAGTACACCATATTTTGAAAATTAATATTTTTATCCATTTCTCAGCGAGTATGGGTAATATATAGGTGCATTTTACAAAACAGTGGCGCAGTAGGTAGTGCTGTTGCCTCACAGCAAGAAGGTTGCTGTGTTGCTAGCTCGATCCTCGGCTCAGTTGGCGTTTCTGTGTGGAGTTTGCATGTGTGTTCACGTGGGTTTCCTCCGGGTGCTCCGGTTTCCCCTACAGTCCAAAGACATGCGGTACAGGTGAATTGGGTAGGCTAAATAGTCCGTAGGGTATGAGTGTGTGTGTGAATGTGTGTGGATGTTTCCCAGAGATGGGTTGCGGCTGGAAGGGCATCTGCTGCGTAAAAATGTGCTGGATAAGTTGGCGGTTTATTCTCCTGTGGTGACCCCAGATTAATAAAGGGACTAAGCCAACAAGAAAATGAATGAATGAATAATACATTGAAATTCATGCATTGCAAAAAATATAAACTACAACTTTTTGTTTTTCTTGATATTTGCTTTTTTTTATTGAATATTTTTCCCTAACATGTACATTTGGGCTAATAATTTTTGAACCATTATTTTAATATTTTGTTAGATTTTTGGTATTTTGTTAAATTAGCTCCAGATTTGGCTTCAGTACTGACTATTCAAATGTATATGCACAAATATAATATTGTAAAGTATCCTATAGAAAATATTTATCTAAATGAGAGATTTGTGAGGGGTATACTCATATATGCTGAGCACTATACATAACTCTGGACCACAAAACTAATCTTGTGTTGTATGGATATGTATGTTTGGTGATCTAAAATGCAGATTTTTTCCTCCAGAAAAGCAAAAACATTGGAATATTAAGTAAATTTCATGTTTCATGAAAATATTTAGTAAATTTCCTATTACAAATAAGTATATCAAAGGCTTTTTATTATAATAGCCTTTTTATTATTAAAGGCTATTTTATTAACTACTTTGATAAAAACTTAATTTGGACATCTCTAAATGTGCTATTGTCAGTGTTTAGACTGTTTTTGAACCCTTAGATTGAAGATACTGTCCTATCTGAAAAGCATATTTATTCAGCTTTCTGTTAATGCATAAACCTTTTGACAGATTTTGTGGTCCTTGGTAACATACAGTGCTCAGCACAAATGAGTACATTCCTGACCAATCTATCTTTTAAAACCTCTTATTTTTAATAGGAAGCTATACAATATTACATTTGTGCATATACCGTACATTAGATTAGTCAGTACTGAAGCCAATCCTGAGCTTATCTAACTTATCAAACAAACAATAATGGTCCAAAAACTAGTACAGCCAAATTTTATTTTATAGAAAAATATTAAATACAAATTTTAAAAATAGGAAAATCAAGAGATGCAAAAAAAAAAAAATATATATATATATATATATATATATATATATATATATATATATATATATACATATATATATATATATATATAGAGAGAGAGAGAGAGAGAGAGAGAGAGAGAGAGAGAGCAATATTTTGCTTGAATTTACTTGTATTATCTTTCAATGTCTAAATATGTTTGGTGATTGGTGATATAGTGCTCAATTATGTTGAGCACTATATATTCAAATAAATGAGCTATAATTGTATATGTATGTTCATATATGGCTATATATCAGATTGCTGTATGGGTGAGTTGTAAATGTCTCTGTCTGAGGCACAGGCCAGAACACACAAAGCTTTTGTGTCAGTAGTGAAGTACCTGGAGGGCTGCTGTGTCCAGCTGCTGCAGTGGCGATGGCAAACGCAGAGGCTGGAGAAACAGAGCAGCGTGAGTTCTCAGCCGTCTGGACTACAATAAAACATGGAGAACAGGTTTGATGATTAAAAGTTAATCGCCCCTCCAAAAAATACTACATTCAACATTCTTTAATAGTCACTGAACAAATACCTCGTTTGATGGAAAATGCACCACCAGTGTTTCTACTTGACATGTGCACTTTTTTATACAACCATAATAATTATTCCTGTATACGGCACATATACAGTATTTATAAATTTTTTTGCACATTTCGTTAGTAGTACCGTACTACTGTAGATTGTGTTGTACTGTACTTGTTCTCTACAGAATCAAGTCACACAAAAATGTATTTATGTATGCCTTATTCATGAAACACAAATAATAATAATAATAAGCTTACATTTATATAGCGTTTTTCTAAAGCGCTTTGCACAATGGGGGAATCTCCTCATCCACCTGGATGACGTGACAGCAGCCATATTGCGCCAGACCACACACCAGCTGATTGGTGGAGAGGAGACAAGAGTGATGAAGCCAATTGTGATATGGGAATGGTTAGGAGGCCATGATGTTGGAGGCCGGTGGGCAAATTAAACCTCTACTCTTTCAAAGGACATCCTGGGATTTTTAATAACCACAGAGTCAGGACTTTGGTTTAACATCTAGTTCGAAAGACATCGCTCACTGAGCATTATAGAGTCCCCTTCACTATACTAGGGCGTTAGGTCCCACACAGACTGCAGGTTCACTAACACCACTAACACCACTTCCGGCAGCAACCTAGCTTTTCCATGTGGTCTCCCATCCAGGTACTGACTGGGTGCTGCCCTGCTTAGCTTCAGTGGGCGACAATGTTCAGAGTAGTACAGAGAAGATACACAGAGAGGTTTTGTGCTTGGGTGATGGGTCGGATCTTAGTAATATGATGTATTGTTAGCTCTTGAGTGTCTCATCATTACCAAATAAAACCTTCGATATCAGTTTTATCTACGGGCGTATTTCAGAGTGTACTGTCAGTCAGTTCAACTCACAAGTATACACTTACCGGCCACTTTATTAGATACACCTTACTACTACCGGGTTGGACCCCTTTTGCCTCCAGAACTACCTTAATCCTTCGTGGCATCGATCCAACAAGGTACTGAAAATATTGCTCAGAGATTTTGCTCCATATTGACATGATTCACACTTTTTGACATGGTGCTCTATCCTGCTGGAAGTAGCCATCAGAAGATGGGTACATTGTGGTCATAAAGGGATGGACATGATCAGGTAGGCTGTGGCGTTGACACGATGATCAGTTGGTACTAATTGGCCTTAAAGTGTGCCAAGAAAATATCCCCTACACCATTACACCACCAACAGTAGCCTGGAATGATGATACAAAGCAGGATGGATCCATGCTTTCATATTGCTGACGCCAAATTCTGACCCTACCATTCGAATGTTGCAGCAGAAATTGAGACTCTTCAGACCAGGCAATGGTTTTCCATTCTTCTATTGTTTAATTTTGGTGAGCCTGTGCGAATTGTAGACTCAGTTTCCTGTTCTTAGCTGACAGCTCTTTTGCTGCTGTAGTCCATGTGCCTCAAAGTTGGACGTGTTGTGCATTCAGAGAAGCTCTTCAGCATAACTTGGTTGTAACGAGTGGTTATTTGAGTTATTGTTGTATTTCTATCAGCTGGAACCAGTCTGTCCATTCTCCTCTGATCTCTGGCATCAGTATGGCTTTGAAGTTTAAAAAAAATACACACAATTTGTGGTTTGTTTGTTTATTTGTTTGTTTGTTTGTTTGTTTGTTTGTTTGTTTGTTTGTTTGTTTGTTTGTTTGTTTGTTTGTTTGTTTATTTGTTTGTTTGTTTGTTTGTTTGTTTGTTTGTTTGTTTGTTTGTTTGTTTGTTTGTAGGGTAAAACCTCTAGGTGGACTTGTTCTATTAAAGACTGGTGTGATTATTATTTTTAAAAAAGTGTAAAGATTTTTTAAATAATACAGAAAACAGGAACTCTTTGTAACAACATTTGAGTGAAAACAATAACAAAGTTTTTAATTTTGTGTTAATTGGCCCTTGAATCCTCATGGACATAATTAGTAGCATCACTTAAGTACTACTACTGTCACATAAAGAGTTTTACTAATTCAGTGGTCATACTTCAAAATGAAGTATGTTTTTTTGTTGTTGTTGTTGCAATAAATAAATAATTTATTCCCCTTTGGCTGGGACGAAGCCAATGGGTCAACCTAATGAGCACAGTCCCACCCACCTATCATAAAAATGCATCAAAGAACGTTTTTTTCTTTCTTTAGCCACAACATAATATATTTAGAAACAAAAATAATGTTTTTTGGATAAAGACTGATGAGCTTGACAGACATCAGCTAGTTTACAATTTATTAATGCTGTCCTATACAAACTGCAGCAGAAAGTATGTCTCAGTTCATCAATCATGTCATACTTCTTCAATGGTGTATTAGAAAATATGGTAACACTTTAAAATAATAGTCCATAATGTATATACTAACAAGAACAAACAATTATATTTATTTATGTTTGAGTTAATGTTATTTAAGTTAAATCATAAAATAAAAATAAAAAAGATTATTCATACTTAGTTGATGTTATATATTATATATAATATAAAATATATTAACTAACATTAACTAATGGACCATTATTCTAAAGTGTTACCAAAAATATTTTGTACACCCATTTTTGTCCAACCAAAAATAGATTTCTGCTTAAACCACTGCTCTTTGGTAATCATATCCAGGAGGTAACAAAATTAATATGTTTTCCTTGAACACAGCAAAATGCACAAAGATTTATAAGATTCATAATTTGATTGCTTATTTTGAACAAACGAAGATGCCAAATGCAAATGAACACATCAACATCTGCTCCAATCAGAAAAAAAAATCATAGTGGAAATACTAATGTAAGTATGGCATTTTATGAAAAAAAATGATCCAATCATGTCTTGACTCTCCCCGTGTATAGCTTCATTTAGTGTCACGCAAGCACAGCATTTGACCGTTTTAGATCCCAGACTGTGGTCATATAGGAAAAGAACTGCACCGCAATGTGTACGTTTAATTTAAGGAGCCATTTTGGAATGCTGCATGCTCTCTCCTCAAAAATTCTATTTATAAAAAAGATTTATCAAAACTGATCTAAGATGTCAGCTGCTAGCCATTTAATACAATTTTGACAAAACTAATGGGTTAGATATTGGACTTAGTGTTGGATTCACCGAATAATGTATAATTCTCTCAGAATCTCCTAAGTAACCATTGCGTTTGACTGTGCATTTGCTCTCAGAAGAGAGCTGCACTAAGAGACCTGCGCGCTCTTACCTCCTGACTGTCTGTAGCGGAGGTGGCGTGGAGTGGAGGGTGAGCGGCACGGAGAGATTTCTCCTGGTTCACTGGCCTGGGGCGACTCTGGAATAAATTTGTCCAAAGACACTGACTCCAGCACAGCTGAGGGGAAAGTCAGACCTTTATTAAAATGGATGATAGAAGCCCTCATTCTTCAAAAATATTAATGGTTTTAGGGCAAAAGCTCTATAAGAAAACAGAGCAAAAGCAAAAGCAAAAAAAAAAAAAAAAACAAGGAATAGGGTGTGGAGGGTGCATTGCATTTAAAAGAAACAGTCAGAGGCCTTCTCTCCAGTGTAAATAATACAGAGAAAAAACATTTTTCCAATAGTTTTATTCTTTGTTATTAGTCTATTTTCAAATGGATAAACAAGTATCAAAATCACTGTGTTGCTGGGGGACACACAATTGCAGATTTACTGGAAACATTATAATTGATGACAACATTCTGAGTCTAATGCTTTGTTTATTTAAAATTAATATTGTCACTCTTGTGGACCAAATCCTGCACTAAATGTTAAACACAAGAGCAAACTATTTTGTTTCCTGAAATAAAAGAACCCTAACTTAGATACTTAATTTACTGCCCTTTATTTTAATAGTCAACTACTTTGCTTCTACTCTAATGAAAAGTATTTGACATACTGTAGTTGTTACTTACAGTCCACAGGATTTCTAAAGTCATCCATCAAAATGAACTGTAACCAAATTAGTTCATTTTAGGTAACTGACAAGGAACCACTCCTCATTTTCATTCAGTTTACTTACATGTACTAAAATTACAGACAATAAAAATAAAAATAAAAAAATTGTGTTTTCTACAATAAATATTGCTGCAAAGAAGATTTTAAAAAGTGAGTGTTATTGCATTACGATCAAAATAGCTGAAAAGACAATGTTATCATGTCTGATGTGCAACAGTGTAGGTAATGGCATACAAAAAATGTCAAAGATGTGATATTTGTATATAATTTACTACTTAGTGGGGTTTTGCAAATTGAAAGGTGTTCACCTTTATCACAATTTTCCACCTCTGACAAAAACAAGGGCATGTATTTACCCCTTTGGGCCCAAATTGTTAAAAATGTAACAATTATTTAGTGTCCTATATGAACATGTTTTGCATTTATTTTCTCTAGGTTCTCAAAGAAAATCATATTTAAATATTGCCGGTGGACAAATATGTTGTAATAACCCTTCAATGTAAAATTTAAATAGGAGGATAAAATTTGGCATTCTAACTCAAAACAACTGTTTTCAAAATATCAATTTATATTCATTAACACATTTATTATGTTTAAAACTATTTGATATGAACCCCCCGAAAAGTATCTATCATATAATTTCATAAATATGAAAACACAAAGAACTAAACCATTGGTTTTAAATAGGATGAAACTACACTGCTTTCCAGACAGACTATTGTGTCAAAAAGACAAATAAATAAGTCAAAAAGTAAAGTAACTGGTGTACATACACAAAAGTAAATACAGTACATACCACAATGGTGACATCTAACAAAACAAGTATTTTTTTTAGTAAATCTAACTACAGGATTTTGTGGACATCTGATAGTCAATGGCCAAACAGCTTAGTTATAAGTAAAGCTTCCGATTCTATTTGTTGTTTAACGATTCTCATGAACTGAGATTTTGAAAGATTTACTGAGTTATCAGTTGAGTTCCTAAGGTCATGTACACATGTATTTTTATAACCAAAAATGTTTTTTTTTTCCTTTCTAAATTTTCTAAAAGACTCTGGTGCTTTTGAAAATCTTAACCCTGACAAGAGTTTTTAAAAAGTTGGGTTTCAGTGACCTGATACTGTGTTTTTCGTGTAGAAACAAGCTGCAATTTAGACAAAACACATGTTTGTGTGAAAAGCACAGCTTATGGTTGGACTGAATTTGCTTGTAGTTTGTGGTTTTCTTTAGTAATTCAGCTTTTTAACAGTAGGAGTTCATTATTCCCTGTTCACTCAGCACTTTAACGCTGCTCCAGTGTTATTTTAACTCTTTGTAGGAGTGGAACCGGTGGGAGAAGTTAATTTTACTCTGAGGATTTTGCTGTATATCAAATTGTGTATCAAAAAAGGCTACTTTAAAGTAAAGATATCAGTAAAATGGTTAAGATTAGGTGGGGTATTATGTAAGCAAAAATCATTAAACAAGACCAATAACCCTGATTAACTTATTAACACATTATTCCCTATTCCCCATTATTTATGTACTTACAAGGTATTTCCCCACCGGCAACTATATTTGCTACTTGAACTTTTTATAAAACTATAGATCTATTGAAAGATTTGTTTTATTTGGATGAATCTAGAGACCTTCATGGTTATGTTCATACATTTGTGAACTAAAAAGAATTTTTGATAACATGTAAATTGCCTTTATTTGGGAGAGTTTGCCTCCATTTTTCATCAGAATTATGGGTAGGAAGGCCTCATGTAACAGGAACTAAGTCAATTCCTTTTATTTTTCTTGAAATACTTCATTTGGTTGTTTGCCTGAATGTCATTGAGAAATTATACACGTAGAAAAATACTTATAAAAGGAAAATGGCTTAAATGGGTTAATTACATTTAATGTCAGCCTTTTTAAATAAAATTATGTTTTACTTTATAAGATAACAAAAACAATGCAAAACGTGTTTTAATAGCAAATATTTCATGATTAGAATACCCCTTTGCCTAATTTTGAGCCAGAAATAAAAAATCTGATTATTACAACAATTAATAAAAATTAACAAATGATTGTTTTTATATGTGACTTGTTGTGTTGTGAAAACCATTGGACTTGAATTAACACAACATAGATGCATTGTTGTTCTCTTTAAAAATTTTCATGAAGAATTCAGGTTGCCTCATTAAACTGAGGATAACCACTGAAGTCACATAGAGCACATCAATAATCCGTGTGCCTTTCTGAGCATTAAGTGGTAGTTGCATAGGTTGTCAAAAGAAGCCTTACAGATATCATAACAAATATCTTCATTTGTGTTCCAGAGATGAATGAAAGTCTTACAGGTTTGGAAGAACAGGAGGGTGAGTAATAAATGACTGAATTCATACTGTATGTAATAACACATGTTTGTCAATAAGCCAATGCTATTTAAGATTGAAGTGCATGATACAGATGATAATTTGCTGACCTTTAGTACTAGTGATACATCTGTGATGGGTTTACACAGTACATCATTCAACAAATAATGTATGTTTTTTTCAAAACAATTGGACTTTCAAAATACTGGTATTTGTCCCCTGCAGCTTTGAGATGGATAATCTCAACATTGAGATCAGTAAAATGAAAAATGACAATGAATGCAAAAATAAGAAAAGAAATCAACTAAATTTAGGTTGTTTAAAAAAAATAAAATAAACTTTTTGTATAGAGTCAAACCCGATAATGTGCCTCATCCCATGATGTGCAAAAAAACGTACTTTTATTCCTTATAGTTTAACAACAAGATCAACTAAAGAATGTCAAGATTTGGTGGATTTTCTAGCAGAAAATAGCGAAAAACAATATAGAAATATCTACTTAAACAACCAAACATATGAAACAGTAGATATGAACCTAAGTGGTTTTTTAAAAAGCACTTTATCCTTTGGGTTGTTTCTGTTTCAGAAACGCCTGTTTCTCATTCTGGGGTGCCACTATAATACACAGCCCTAATCACAAGCATTATGGGTGTTTGGCCAAATATCTCCTCTGTTTTGCGTTAAGAAAGAACACAAGGCAGGCATGTTTGAACTTTATATGTGTGTGGATTTTATTGGGAGGCAGGAGAATGCAAGTCAGATTAATAGCCTATAAAAAAGTAACACATTAGTTTGGCTGTTAAGTTATTACGATCAAGCGGTGTTCAATTTAATTTGGAGCACCTACAGAAATCTTCCTACAAATTCACCAGCTACTTACAGACAAAATTTTTCGTTAAGCCAGCTAATGAAGGATGCATTTAGGATCATCCATGTTAGCGTCCAGCCAGTGTGCTGACCTACTTCCAACAGCCCACCACTGCTCTATTCTGAGACCTAGTGAGCTGCCTACAGAGACATCATAGGCATGTTATCATAGCCAAGGATGCTAAAATCTTTTTATAAAACCTAATTTATCTTGTATGCTTTCTGGAAAATGCAACTCAAACTGCATGTGTTAAAAGGGTAGTTTTATTAAAGGGTAGATCATCCAATAGTCATGATTTGCTCAGCTTTATTAGGTTCTATTGAACACAAAATAAGATATACTGAAGAATCTTGAAAAACTTGCAAACATTGACTTCCATGGTATTTATTTTTCCTACTATGTCAACAATGGCAGTGAACACAATTCAGTGAGATGACGGCATATGTTTCTTTTACTATTCCTAAAAAAGTAAAACTATTTGTTGCTCACCTCTCCTTATGCTGCGGCGTAGTTTACCACAAAGGGCATCGATTCTTGGCACCTCTGCATTGTCGTCCAGAGCTCCAGGACTCTGCTCGGGGGAGGAAGGACTCTGTCCACGGCTAAGATCCAAAGGTGGCTTGCTGTTGTTATTGTTGTTGGATGGTGGAGGTGAGATGGTGGGGTTGGCGGAGGTTGGACTGCTTGCTGCAGATGATGAAGTGGTGGACAGATCAAGGATGCCTACTTTTGAGCCAATAGGTGAATTAAGAGAGAGTTTTCTAGTGCGAACTGGAGAGGAAGTACGAGAGGAAATGGAGAGAGGTGGAGGGGATGAGAACTTGCGGCACAGTCTTGGAGATTTGTCATTGACGTGGTCCCCGCTGCGGTTGTTCTGATTGGTGGCAAAGAAAAGCTCCAAGGATCTGAGTTATAAGAAGAACAGTGAAAGATGGAGTGTAAATGGCACAGCAACACTGGCACGTTCTGCATACTTGCATGCTCCAAGTTCACTGAACATTCTTGTCAAACAATGTGTTGGATGCATTCTACAAGTGGAAACAGGAGGAGATCGGTTGTAGAAGCATGCCTCTTCTGCAGCTCTTAGAGTTTGGGGAAAAACAGGAATTTATGAAGTACATAAACTTTGTAAAATGTTAAATTTGCAATAAGTGACAATCCAGGATTTCAAACAATCTATTTGTGATTTCCAAAATCAGAAGATATAGACAAACATTAACAAAAGTACAGACTAACAGGAAAAATGGACAGAGATGAAAGTGAATGGTAACATGGGTTTGTTACTTTGACTGATCCAGCGCTATCTTCCTGATCTTCAAGCTGTAGTCTGGGCAGATGGATGTAATGGACAAGCGGTCAAATGAGTGATACTGGACCCTGTGTGACAGCAAATTGGGTGAGGGGGTGAGGAACATTGGAGACAACACATTAAACCAACCCAGGCTCATTCTAAAAATGTACAACTACATAAATTCTAAAGAGGGGCAAGTACGTCCCAGGAGGTACGTTTTTTTTGTTTGAGTTTTTTTTCCAAATTCACCAGAGGGCGGTGTGTATGCTTTTTGGGATCTCAAATTTCTCTCACGAGTACCATTCGCGCCTGCTGTTCTCGCATAAATCCACCAGAGACTTCTATTGGCTGACTGACTGACCAATTAACTGACCCACCCTCCTCCTTCCCTAAACCCAACCAATAGTGTCCTTCCCTAAACCCAATCAATTATTCAAAAGCACAGATTGACCCTCCCACCCATTTCCCTAAACCCAACCGACAGTTTTAAAAAGCAATCCAGAAAATGAATAGCCGTAACCTGATTTTTACCACGTTTTCAGATTTTACCACAGTGTCAATTTGTTATTTACATGTTACTTATTATCTGCTTTTTGGAACTGTTCTTCGCCGGACTCGAACTTTGTCGTCGTGATCTACTCCTCTCTGCGTCTCACGTCCACCAAGCTATCTGGACAAACTGGTAACAGCGGGAAAACCGTCCATATGGAGGTAAGTCAGCTGGTAAGCTCAAAACGTAACGGCATCATACGTAGCTCTGGCTACATACAGTAATTTGCGATCTCCAGAAATGTATATATGGCTACGTTTTCAGAAAGAGCCTATGTTGCAACCAAAGTCACAACACTCACAATGACAACCTCTGATCAGGAACATCTTCACAGATGTACAGATGATTTGCCTAAAGCACATGGATACTAAATTTTCAACAGCAAATGAGGAGTAGATGTCAAGCAAGTTAGGATTTTGTAAAAAATAAGGTTTACTAAGCGTGCATAAACTTAAAGAATTCTGTTACCTGACTGGTATGGAAGTAAAAGGCTTCTTGTAGATGTCAGCCAGTTTCTCCATGACCACGGTGGCAGTAGTGAAGATGCGGTAGGTGTGCAGGAATGTGTTGAGGAAGTCTATGGAGAGGAAGCGCAGGTCGGTCAACCTCTCCAGCAGTCTCTCCACGCTGGCGTAGCGGATCTGAGGAACCTTGCAGGAGTTGAGGGTCTTACTGAAGCAAATGTCAACATCATCTTTATGGAGACGCGCATCAGATCTGATAAGGAGCACAACCAAAGCAACTTTATGGTCTGTATGCTGTACAGTTATGAGGATGGTAATTGGAAAAGTTACGAGGCACTAGTGGAGATGCACTAATTTCAATTTTCCAACAGTCTATACTGATTATAAACTACTACTACTATTACTAATACTACTAGTAATACTGTACTACTAATACTACAAATACTAATACTACTATTACTACTACTACTACTAAAATTACTACTACTTATACTATTACTACTACTACTACTGCTACTATTACTACAACTACAGCTAATACTACTACTAAAAATAAAAATATTACTGCTACTATAACTACTAATATTACTGTTTCTATTACCGCTACTACTACTACTATTACTACTATTACAGTACTACTACTACTAAAATTAATACTACTATAACTACTACTACTACTTCTACTACTACTACTACTATTATTACTACTACAGTTACTACTAATCATACTACTGCTAATAATACTAATAGTATTACCATTACTTCTAATTCTACTATTACTACTACTACTATTACTGCCATTATTACTACTACTACTACTACTACTGCTATACTACTACTACTACTACTACTACTACTACTATTCCTACAAGTACTGCTGCTTCTAATACTACTACTATTATTACTACTACTGCTTCAACTAGTAATACCAATTCTACTACTATTACAACCTCTACCTCTGCTGCTGCTACTACTACAACTGCTATAAATATTACTACTAATACTAATACTAACAATAATATCAATAATTTAGGGAACACCTGGGACTAATAACTCAAATTCCAAACTATTGCTTGTGGATAGTACACAATAAGGTTACTACAGTAGTTCCCCTTCGAATGAAATTAATTGGCAGCGTAAGCTTGCGCAGGTGTGCGACATCTGCAATTATCTCAGCATATAAGCACACCTGAAGCCAGCAGACGCCATCCTTTTCGCTTCAGATCCTTTCTGAGTGAGTCGATGAGGGTTCCTCTTGCTGATCAGCACTTCAGAGCGAACGAGTGTGTCTCCCGGTCCAGAGTGGGTCTTCGCGGTGGCAGACGGTCGAGCTGGGTTACTCCCTTGCCTGCGGTTCTTTGGGTCCGGTCCTCCAGAGCGGTGCGTATAGTTGCAACTTTCCTAAAAGAGCAACACAGTCGTGCAGCACGTCCTTTTCAGGATGGCGCTCCGACTGTGCGTTTCTGGATGCGGGGGTTTCCTGGCTCCGGATGATGGACACGATCACTGCATTGCATGTTTGGGGGTCCAGCATGTTAATGCGGTGCTCGCGGGCGGTTCATGTCGTCATTGCGATGCCATGACCGTTGCACAGCTAAGATCGCGGCTAACTTTCGCAAGAGAGCAAGCCACCCCAGTTGCCTCCTGTTCTAAAAAAGCAGCGGGCGCTCGGGCAGATCTGAGGGTTTCAGCGGGAGATAATCCGCCGCCCACGGGCTCGCGGACCTCTCGCTCCTCACGGCGCTCCATCCAAGCTTCGGGTGGTGAGAGTGATCCGTCTAACCAGATGGTTGCTCTCACACTCGCTGACACCGGAGATCAGATGTCCTCCGCGGCATCGGAGGGTGGGCTTTCACTGTCCGACGAAGATCCGGACCCGCTCGCCCCCTCCGGGCAGGTGAGCGCTGTCAAATCGGATCCTGAAGCGGACATGTTAGCCGTGCTTTCCCGGGCTGCTTCGGCCGTGGGGTTGGAGATGGTTTATCCCCAAGCTCCGCGGCCGGACCGACTAGATGGGTGCTACGTAGAGGACCAGAAGGCGAAGCCTTCGAAGCCTCTCGTCCCCTTCTTCCCGGAAGTGCACAGTAGGCTCACGCAGTCTTGGAGGGCACCTTTCTCTGCCCGTGCTGCGTGTGCCTCCGCCCTCACCGCCCTTGACGGCGGAGCTGCCAGGGGGTATGAGGCGATCCCGTCAGTGGAGCGCGCTATCGCGGTCAATCTTTGTCCGCGCGGCGCCTCTACGTGGCGGGGTTTGCCCCGCCTCCCGTCCAAAGCCTGTAGGTTGTCTGCCTCCCTTGGAGCCAGAGCTTATAAGGCTGCGGCCCAGGCTGCTTCTGCTTTGCACGCGATGGCCACCTACCAGCGCTACCAAGCGCAGGCGCTGGCCGAGCTGCACGAGGGCGGGTCCAACCCAAGCTTATTACATGAGCTGCGCACCGCGACCGACTATGCTCTTCGGACTACTAAGTCCGCCGCGTGTGCGCTGGGGAGGACGATGTCCACACTTGTGGTTCAGGAACGCCACCTCTGGCTAAACCTGGCCGATATGCGCGACGTTGACAAAGTTCGCTTTCTTGACTCGCCCATATCCCAGGCTGGCCTGTTCGGCGACACCGTCAGTGAATTCACCCAGGAATTCAAGGCGGTGAAAGAGCAGTCGGATGCGATGGGCAATGTCATCTATCGGCGTGGCCGTAAGCCCGCTCCGCCCGCCGAGCCATCCACCTCCGCTGTTCCTCGCCGAGGGCGCCCGCCAACGAGTGCTGCCCCGCCCCCGCCTGCGCCTCCGGCCAAGCGGGCGCGGCGTTCACCTCGAAAGCAGGCAGCCCCTCCTGCCCAGGGCGCCGTTAAGTCCGGTAAACGGACCGCGAAGCGTCCCTGAGACAGGCCATCCGGAGAAGAGGAAACTTGCTCTTTCCCCGCTGGAGGGCGGGGCCCCGATAACAACGGTACTTTTCAGTGCCACCAAAACATCAGTAAAAGAGCACTTTTTCCCTTCCCCGGATGTGACTGCACGAGTTCTGCCAGTCCGGGACGCGCTGCCTTCCGGCTCGCAGACTCTACGTGCTTCGCCAGTGGCTCACGAGCGCTGGGGGGACGGTCTCCCTTCCCTCAGCCCTCCAGCCCCCTCTCCGGAGTCAGGGTGCGGAGCCAGAGCGAATCGCTCTCCTCCAGCTCTTCCGCGGGACCCTCGTGCTTCCCGGATCAGCACACCCACTCCGCGCTGCCCCACCGCTGGTACGTCAGCGATTGTAGCGATGACTCCATTAGCGAGGGCTCTGCCTGCCTGGTTAGCGCGGGCCAGCCCCTCGCGGTGGCTCATACGCACAATCAGACTCGGTTACGCGATTCAGTTCGCGAAACGGCCCCCCAAGTTTACGGGCGTGTATTTCTCCAGGGTCAACCCCCTGTCCGCCCCTGTCTTGCGAGAGGAGATTGCTGCCCTCCTGGCGAAGGGTGCAATCGAGCCGGTTCCTCCAGCCGAGATGGAGAGTGGGTTTTACAGCCCATACTTCATCGTACCCAAAAAGAGCGGTGGGTCACGGCCAATCCTAGATCTGCGCGTTTTGAACCGCTGTCTGCACAGGCTGCCGTTCAGAATGCTCACGCAGAGGCGCATTCTCCAATGCGTTCGTCCTCGGGATTGGTTTGCAGCCATAGACCTGAAGGACGCGTATTTCCATGTCTCCATTCTTCCACGCCACCGCCAATTTCTGCGGTTTGCGTTCGAGGGTCGAGCGTGGCAGTACAAGGTCCTCCCCTTCGGGCTCTCTCTGTCTCCGCGGGTCTTCACCAAACTCGCGGAGGGTGCCCTAGCCCCCCTTCGGCTCGCGGGCATTCGCATGCTCAATTATCTCGACGACTGGCTGATTTTAGCCCACTCGCGGGAGCAATTGATTATGCACAGGGACAAGGTGCTTCGGCATCTCCGCCTACTGGGGCTTCAGGTCAACCGAGAAAAGAGCAAACTCGCCCCCGTGCAGAGGATTTCTTTTCTCGGGATGGAGCTGGACTCGATCACCATGGTAGCGCACCTCTCCGAGGAACGCGCTCGCCTGTTGCTGAACTGTCTGAGGGAGCTCGACAGCAAACTAGTGGTCCCACTGAAGTTCTTTCAGAGGCTCCTGGGGCATATGGCATCCGCAGCCGCCGTCACGCCGCTCGGGTTGCTCCATATGAGACCACTTCAGCACTGGCTTCACGATCGGGTCCCCAGACGCGCATGGCACGCGGGCACACACCGGGTCTCGGTTACTGCGCTGTGTCGCCGCGCCCTCAGCCCTTGGAACGACCCCTCGTTCCTACAGGCCGGTGTGCCTCTAGGACAGGCGTCCAGCCATGTTGTTGTTTCAACAGACGCTTCCAACACGGGTTGGGGGGCCGTGTGTCGCGGGCATGCGGCTGCGGGCCTCTGGAAGGGTGCCCAGCTGCATTGGCATATCAATCGCCTAGAGCTGTTGGCAGTGTTCCTCGCTCTCCACCGCTTTTTACCGGTGCTGGAGCGGCAACACGTGCTGGTCAGGACGGACAGTATGGCGGCGGCGGCGTATATCAACCGCATGGGGGGTATGCGCTCTCGCCGCATGTCTCAGCTCGCCCGCCGTCTGCTCCTCTGGAGTCACCCGCGGCTGAAATCGCTGCGCGCCATTCACGTCCCAGGCACGCTCAATCGTGCAGCCGATGCGCTCTCACGACAGCTGTTACGTCCTGGAGAATGGAGACTCCACCCCGAGTCTGTTCAGCTGATATGGGCGCGATTCGGGGAGGCCCAGATCGATCTGTTTGCTTCCCCCGAGAACGCTCACTGCCAGTTGTTTTTTTCCCTGACCGAGGGCTCTCTCGGCACGGATGCACTGGCCCACAGCTGGCCTCGGGGCATGCGCAAGTATGCGTTTCCCCCAGTGAGCCTGCTCGCGCAGTTTCTGTGCAAGGTCAGGGAGGACGAGGAACAGGTTCTGCTAGTTGCGCCCCTTTGGCCCAACCGGACCTGGATATCAGAGCTCTCACTCCTCGCGACGGCCCTCCCCTGGCGGATCCCTTTGAGAGAGGACCTACTCTCTCAGGGACAGGGCACCATCTGGCACCCTCGCCCCGATCTTTGGAACCTCCACGTGTGGTCCCTAGACGCGAGGAAGACTTAGGTAATCTACCGACTGCGGTGGTTAATACCATCACTCAGGCTAGAGCCCCCTCCACGAGGCGCGCCTACGCCCTGAAGTGGAGTCTATTCACTGAATGGTGCGTCTCTCGCAGAGAAGACCCCCGAAATTGCCAGATTAGTGTTGTGCTCTCTTTCCTTCAAGAGAAGTTGGACAGCAGGCTGTCGCCCTCCACTCTCAAGGTTTACGTGGCCGCCATCTCCGCTTATCATAGCGCGGTAGCTGGCGGCACCGTGGGAAAGCATAACCTGGTCATCCAGTTCCTTAGGGGTGCTAGGCGAATTAATCCATCTCGCCCCCCTCTCATGCCCTCTTGGGATCTCGCCCTCGTTCTCACGAGTCTGCGATCCGATCCCTTTGAGCCACTCGAATCAGTATCTCTAAGATTTCTGTCCCTGAAGACAGCTCTGCTGGTTGCGTTGGCCTCCATCAAGAGGGTCGGGGACCTGGAGGCATTTTCGGTCAGTGACTCGTGCCTGGAATTCGGGCCGGATTACTCTCACGTCATCCTGAGACCCCGCCCCGGTTATGTGCCCAAGGTTCCTACCACCCCCTTTAGAGATCAGGTAGTGAACCTGCAAGCGCTGCCCCCGGAGGAGGCAGACCCAGCCCTTTCTTTACTTTGTCCAGTTCGCGCTCTGCGCATTTATGTGGACCGTACTCAGAATTTTAGATCATCTGAGCAGCTCTTTGTCTGTTATGGCGGTCGGCAGCAGGGAAGTGCCGTATCAAAACAAAGATTATCCCACTGGATTGTGGATGCCATTTCACTCGCTTATTCGAGTCGAGGTCAGCCGTGTCCCCCGGGAGTTCGTGCACACTCCACTCGGAGCGTTGCATCCTCTTGGGCGCGTGCACGCGGCGCCTCTCTAACAGACATCTGTAGAGCTGCGGGCTGGGCGACACCCAACACATTTGCAAGGTTTTACAATCTGCGAGTGGAGCCGGTTTCCTCAAGGGTATTAGGTAACCCTTTGGTGATTGAGGAGACAACTCGGTAGGGTGTTGAAACACGCTTGCTGCGCCATTCTCCCTAACACGGAGGTACGTGCGCCTTTTTTATCTGTCAGTAAAGTTCCCCGTCAGGTAAGCCCTGCAGATTCCTCCATGGCCCCCAGCACTGACTCAGCGGAGGAGTCACTTGCTGGCCCACTACGTTGTAGGTCTGCCCGCTGGTCAGCCCGCGTTTTGGGTATAGGTGCCTGCTATGCGTGATCCCCACTAGGCGATCCCATATGCTTATTCCGCCACGGTTAAGTCCCCCCCCTGGGCGGACCCGTGTCTTCCCTCTCCGCTAACCACTCTTTTGCTATGCGTACTCCCCCTTTTTAGGGCTAGTCCATATGTAAATTCTGCCATCTATCCCCCCCTTGGGTAACGGATGGCCTCCGCAGCGTCCTCCCTATCGGGATTGCACGCTTCCCAACGTACTGTCGTATTTCCTAGAATTATCTAGATGCTCACGACTTCCCAAAAAATATATCTAAATCCGTAAAACTTCTGTTGAAGTAGGATAAATCAGGGCCAGGGACACGTTGGAGGACCGCGCCCCCCATGATGTGGGTGCGTCACGCTTGCTTGACTATCTCCTCATCGGGGGTGTTGGTAAGGTGCAGTCATTATGGCGCTTTCAATGGGCTCCCAATGCGTGGATTTTACAAATCAAATCCACTTATAGTGCTGAAGTTCCCCCCGAAGGGGAACGTTCGAGGTTACTAAAGTAACCCTTCGTTCCCCGAGGAGGGGAACGGAAGCACTATACTCCGTCGCCATAATGACTGTCCCTTAGCTGTTTGAAAGTCTCTTCAGCTTAAAAGGATGGCGTCTGCTGGCTTCAGGTGTGCTTATATGCTGAGATAATTGCAGATGTCGCACACCTGCGCAAGCTTACGCTGCCAATTAATTTCATTCATTGGCCCGTTCAATACTCTCCAGACAAGCGGCTTCTGATCCGAATCCTCCCAATGCGTGGATTTTACAAATCAAATCCACTTATAGTGCTTCCGTTCCCCTCCTCGGGGAACGAAGGGTTACTTTAGTAACCTCGAACGTTATGTTTAAGCATTGTATAGAATCTTTGCTCAAAGAGTCATGAAATGCTTAACTCAATTTTCTGACATTTTAATCATAATATATAGGTAAATTACATTTTTATATAGCTTTTTATATGCCATATTCCAGGTTTCTTCATTGCGTCAACAAAGTGGCTTTGATTCTTTTCACTCATTGATAATAATAATGAATTCGCCTGGATTTGAGGATTCTGTTGTGTTATTCGTCTTCCCTTTCCTCTCTTCACTCCTTAACTAAACTCAACCACTTTTGAAATAATATTATATTTTTTAAATATTATATTTTTCCTGAAATGCTTCCTAGACTGGTAGTGCTAACATCTTTCCCAGCAGGGAGGTCAATTAGTCCCGGTTGCTTGCCCTTATTGTAGTGTCGCTGAAATGTTTAGCTTAGCCAGATGCTTTTGCACATGTGCTGGAGCCAGTGCTCAGGGCTTTAGTGCATGTTCATTGTGCCTACATAACAAGCTGGTATGTTCTTCTGGGCTAGTTCACACTTAAAGGGCTAAACATTTCAAAAGGGAGATTCTGGTAGTTTAAATATTGTTTTTGTTATTTGTTTTAGATTAAATTATATATTTATATACAATTCTGACTTACTTGATCATATGAGGTACTGTGACTTTTGAGTTCTCCTCAAACACACTGGTCATCAGGCCATTGCAGCGGATGTTATCGATGCACTATATCCCATAAAGAAGAAATTTACAGGAAGAGAGGGAGGAAAACAAAAAACGGAGAACAGGGAATAACATAATTAATGTGGTCATTAAATATGTTGACAAAATGTAATTTGTTTGTGCATATGGGGGAGATTCAAGGACAGAGAGATGTCTCATGTGGGTTCATCAGTGCAACCCTATTTCTGTCCGCAAGCACAAAGTGATCTCCTCCAGGAACCGGTCTTAAACTCTTTGTTACTCCAGTAAGGTAGTGGTTCATTAACTAGTTATATTAAACAGCTTTGGGCATTATCATTTTGCTTATTATAGTTGTCAGGCACTATTATTGTCAATTCCAGCACCAAGAACAGACTTACCTCTGACAATTCTTCTGCAATCTACAACTGACACTGATGTATGTCTCTATAGTGGTTAAATGTGAAATATAATTTGTTTTGGGGTATATCTAATCATTACTCTTTACTCTCTACTATTGATCTTAATCTAAAACTACATTTAACTGAATGAAGATATCACAATTCTCAGTGGTTATTCAAACTAATGTTTCATTATGATGAAATTAAACATTGTATAAAGAGAAGAAGCTAAATCACACTTTCTCAGTCAATCTCTTTTTCTTATTGCATAATAATGTATTGCCACAGTATAATGCTGTAATTGTAATTCAGTGTTTGCTTTAGCTATTATGAGGTTAATGTTTTGATTAATGGCAAATAATTTGAATCCAAGGCAGAAGGAATTAGTTCTCACACAAAAGGGTTTTAAGACAATCCATTGTTGTTTCAAAAAAACAGCATTGCTGTGGCAACAAGAACAAAATTTTTTCAGGGCTTAATGTTTGACAGGTCTAATGAGATATTTTCTGCAGGGAGCCAATGAGCATGACTGGTTGGTAGTATGCAAATTTAATACAAGCCTGTCATGGTTGTAGGCGTGTGTGCACTTCTGGTATTGTCTGTGTTGTTGTCATGTGCTAATGTGTTGTCTAGCCCACATGCATTTGTTGTGGCGTGTCAGTGTTGTTGTGGTCACGTGGTATATTTGCTACGCTGATCAGTTGTTCTGATCAGCCGGCCAGCCTTGGTTAATTCCTACGGCTATATCTAGGCACCAGTTCTTTATTAGATTGTCAGTTCATTACAAACATTATCAGGAATCTTGGTGATCGTTCTCTGGATTTCTGGACTATTTGCCTGGTTATCGGCTGACATCTGTGCGCTTTCGTCTCACGTTTCGCCATTTCTTTAAAACTCTAGTTTTCACAGTTTTTAGACACTTTTTGTTCTGTTATCTGGTCAATAAAAACACTTGCATCTCAGTTGTCTTTATTATTTACATGAGCATGACACAAACCTACATAGTAAGACTGGAAATTACTCAATTCAGACAGTTCAGAATGGAGAAACTTGGTGAACTTCGCACAACATTAACATACACAAACATCTGGGCTGGGTGATTAATTCAATTGAAATAAAAAACGCAATTGAGCAAAGCTGCAATTGTCATACACATCTTGTCAAGGAGGCATGGTGTGATTTGTAGTAAATATCCTCCGAAGGGCAGAGGGTGCTCTTGCAGAAACTTACTAACCTGTCCAAAACTTAGAAAATGTCTTGGGGAAATCAGCTGTTGCTGAATAAACAGAAAAATTTTACTGCTTTCATTGATTCAGCATGATTAATAAACACACAACTGTGGAATAGTCTTACAGAAGAATTTATCTGAAACACTCGACTGTAGTTATGAGGTAAGTTTGGAGTAAAAACATGTTATTATATGTTTTAATTTTACATGGAAATTTTACTACAGCCATGGTAAATTGAGAAGTGACACAAACTAATGTCATTTTTGCAAAACACTTATCTCAATGTCATCATCGACTAAACTGAATTTAAATTTAAAACAATTTATTTATTTATTTTTTTATTTTTATTTTTTATTTTTTTGCATAGTTTATCACTGTACTATGGCTAAACTCTGTTTCATCTAAACGCCCATGCTTGGAGGTTTACTAGAACCGGCTTTACTGACAAAATGCACGCAAAAATCATCTCAATTAAGGGGCCGTTCCAATATCACTTCTAAAAGCACATAGTAATCCAAACGCAATGCTTCTTTTACCATTTTCAGTGTGCTTGGTGCTCATGCTCTTTTTGTTGATTGTTTATCTTGTCGACCATCATCCGTTTTCTCAGAGGATGACAATCTAACAGAGTGGGGTGGGGTGAGGGTCTAATAATTCAGGGGGTTTAATAACTCTGACTTGAACTGTAAATTCCACAGAAATGATTAAGCTGATCCGTCAGTTCTTGTCACATGACTGCTGCTTGCATGTTGCAATATTTGAACGCCCCCTATATCGGCCAGAACTACAAACAGCTTTTTTACATACTACATTTCAGTATCAGGCATCAAACATGCACTCTTAAAGGGTCATGAAACACCAAAACACATTTTTTGAGCTGTTGACAGTCGTATATGTGTCCCACACTGCTAAAAACACTATTAGGACACATATATTTCACTAAAAAGAGAAAATTGGTTTGTTTTTGCGTTATTTTGAGCAAATTCATACTTCCGGTTTGAAACAAATTTTTAAAGCTGCATCACGGCCATGAGATCTTAGCGTGTAATCCAGCATGTACACTGGACGTCTGTACCTAGGAGTACCGCATTACGTCTCTGAGTGTGCTGCATTAATTCATGAGTAAGACTTGGTCCAAACCAATCAGCGCGCTCTATTGTGTGTGCGTGCAAATTAATTAATTAATATGCATGCAGACTGTTTGTACCTGAAGCAGTGTTTAGATGGCAGAGAGACAACACGTTATGTTGCCAAAAGAAGTGGGAAAAGAAGAAGAATTGTTTGGAGATACGGGTCGTCAGTGTTGCTTTTATAATTTGCTGCAGTCAAGGTTTTATTTAAATTTTCCAGCTATAAGAGCACAACTGGACTCACGTGTGGATCAGTGCATGCAACATGAGGCAGAAATACGTTTGTATGGAACATTTTTTACCCGAAAGCTTTTCGGATCTGGAAAATCCGGATTTGCTATTCCTCTCCTTTAAAAAAAGACACAGCTCCAGTATGTGTTGATTGTCCTGTCTCTACAGATTTGGTAAGTGTGTGCGATCAGTGCCCTTTCTTTGTTTATTCAGATGGCAAAGTTATATTTCGTACCGTCAGCAGTACTCTTTCAGTGTTTAAAGACAGTCCTTAGTCAAAATGGTTTCTAAGTTAATTAGTTTACGTTAATATCACTGCAATATCACGGACTGAAAGAACCGTTGTAAATGCTGCTCTCTGAGTGTAAACGTGAAGACTGCAAGCAAACTATTTCCAACCATCATGTTGATTTTTCGCCGCATTTTGTAACAGGATAGTTTACACACACAGCTTTCTGACCTACTGAGTGCATCTGAGTTATCAAGAAATGCAGAGGTTTTTTTCTCTTATGCGATGTGCAGTATCAAACATTCCACCGTCATTGAACACAGTCACTGTCTTTTTCCCCTGCATGTGTGTTTGTTTTTCCTCGGTGAAACTCAGATTTGGCTTCTTACTCACCTGGCTGATGTCGCTGGTCCAAGCTGCTTTCTCCTGACGGGATGGTGCCAGTAGCACCACAGTGAAGGCCGGAGCATCTGAAGGCTCCACCACAATCTTAAAGTCAAGGTGACCGAACACCTGCCCTGAATTCTTAGCTGTGAACACAAAAAAACAACAGAAGTTTACACTTGAGCATGTTGTGATGTTCAAAGGCTTAATTATCCATTATTATAGAAAAATAATTGATCTGAAGGGATCTCTTCTTGGAAACATAATGATGGTGATGTTTATTAAATAAGCTCTTGGGAACCATTTTCAGAGATCATTAGAGGGTCATTGTGATGCAGTTTTGATTTAGTCCTTGGCTCTCTTTCTATACCCTCGAGTGGATAATCAATCCATGACAATTATCATCTTTGCTTATGTGACATTTACACAGCAGGCAGTTTGAACTCTTTTTTTGACCTGTTTATAACAGTTAATTAACCTGCACGACATGAATAATGGCCAATATACAGCTAATGATGCTGGTCTCCACTCATCTGTGCTGATGTGTTTGAAGATGTGCATGAAAGAAACAGACTCACCATCCTCGTCATTGGCATCAGGCTCTTCGATGAGAGTGCACTCAATCAGGGACAGCACACCACCTTGCTGCCGGAGTCAAACCATTAGAAAGAGAGGTTAATCACAAAAGGCACAATCTCCACTACTGCTTTGTCACAATAATGGATTTGTGGTCTTAATGTAGAAAAGTCATTTTAAATGTTCTCGCAAAAAGGCATGTACTGCTCACTCATAAATCTCATTTCGCTTTAGTAATCAGCGAATAATGATTAAAACTGGTAATTATTTTTAACTGGCTAAAAAACAAAGTGTTATTGGAATTGATAAAAGGAGATGAGATTTGTTTGACCCATTAAAATAATAATAATTACTTAGAACAGCAAAGCAATAATTTGCATAAAGTAATAGCTGTTGATAGATAAAACCAAAACTAAATAATGAAAATAATATAAAATGTATATAGTTATTGGATTATAAGGAAACTCAGAGTTAACAAAGCATACAGTTTGTCTACATTTTTGTGATGTATAGACAACATGCACTCACCAGCCACTTTATTAAGTATACCTTACTAGTACTAGTTAAACCCCATTTTGCATTCAGAACTGCCTTAATCCTTCGTGGCATAGATTCAACAAGGTAAATATTCAAGGAAATATTCCTCAGAGATTTTGGTCCATATTCACATGATAGCATCAAGCAGTTGCTGCAGATTTGTCAGCTGCAAATTCGAATCTCACGTTCTGCTACATTCCTAAGGTAATCTATTGGATTGAAATCTGGTGATTGTGGAGGCCATTCGAGTACAGTGAACTCATTATCATGTTCAAGAAACCAGTTTGAGATGATTCGAGCTATATGACATGGTGTGTTATCCTGCTGGAAGTAGCCATCAGAAGATGGGTACACTGTGGTCACAAAGGGATAGACATGGTCAGCAGTTATACTCAGGTCGGCTGTGTTGTTGACACAATGCTCAATTAGTACTAATGGGCTCAAAGTGTGCCAAGAAAATATTCCCCACACCATCAGCCTAAACTGTTGATACAAGGCAAGATGGATCCATGCTTTCATGTTGTTGATGCCAAATTTTGACCCTACCATTAAAATGTTGCAGCAGAAATCAAGACTCATCAGACCAGGCAATGTTTTTCCAATCTTCTATTGTCCAATTTAGGTGAGTCTGTGCAAATTGTAGCTTCAGTTTCCTGTTCTTAGCTGACAGAAGTGGCACCCGGTGTGGTCCTCTGCTGCTGTAGCCCACCCGCCTCAAGGTTGGACGTCTTGTACATTCAGACATGCTCTTCTGCTGACCTCGGTTGTAAACAAGTGGTTATTTGAGTTACTTTTGCCTTTCTATCAACTGGAACCAGTCTGGCTATTCTCCTACGACCTCAGGCATCAACAAGGCATTTGCACCCACAGAACTGCCGCTCGCTGGATATTTTCTCTTTTTCTGACCATTCTCTGTAAACCCTAGAGATGGTAGTGAGTGAAAATCCCAGTAGATCAGCAGTTTCTGATATACTTAGACCAGCCCGTCTGGCACCAAAAACCATGCCACATACAAAGTCACTTAAGTCACCTTTCGTCACCATTCTGATGCTTGGTATGAACTACAGCAGACCATATCTTGACCATATCTACATGCCTAAATACACTGAGTTGTTGCCATGTGATTGGCTGAATATATATTTGCACTAACAAGCAGTTGGACAGGTGTAAAGGGGCCAGTGAGTGTATTTTATAGCTTATTGAGTTTACAGAACAGCCAATGTGCTAAAATAATATACAATTTTTAGTAAATTTAACATAAAACTGTTTATAGTACTAATTTACAAAAACTATTTACCTATGAGACAAAAAAAGACAAAAATAAGCCATTTCATTCCAAAAATAGTTTATTAAATTATAATAAAACGCCTAAAACTGTTTGCTTCTTTCAATTCTTATTAAATTGTCATAAGTCATTAAATGATTGAATAAATGAATACGTCTTTATTAAGATTTAATGATTACAGATGACAAAGACATTTTTTGTTTAAATATGGTTTATCTAAAACCTTATCATTATACATGTAGGTAAATTCAGCTTCTGAAATTGTGCCAGAGGATTAAAGTCACATTTAAATGCAAAAATGCAAATACACTTCTTACAGCGTAAGAGTAGTGATATGCAAAACTCTGCAAGATTACTTTAGGGAGCGAACAACATGAACAAGGGAAGCTCAAACCTCATTACACATGATTAACCTTTTGGCATCATTACAATTATCAAATAGTATGCTGCGGGGTGTCCAAGTTATTGATCACCAGGGTTTTGTTTCATAATCACTATGCCTTAGCTGCCTCGCTACTTTAAAATAAGAGGGGCTGACATTTTATCTGGTGTGCGCTAAATGTCATTTTCCCTTCGCTTAATTTGTTGCAGTGTTGTGTGTATGTGCGTCACGTACTTTGAGCAGGTGAAGTTTGCCTCCTGAGCTGCGTGTGCAGATAAGGAAGTGCTTGGTAAAAAGGAAGCACTGTCTTTCTCCTTCCTTTTTGAGCGAGAGAGAGCCGAGTCGCACCTTACTGAGCTTCCCTCGCTCCACTGAGGGCAATTGGATCAAAGAGCCTGCAAAGGAGATAGAAATAGCAGATAGAAGTGTTAAGAGTGACACAACTGCAGCGCAAAAGATAAATAGACATCGAAGACACCTTCTCCACTGAACAAAAGTCCACAAGAAGAAAAGAAACGTGAGAAATGTTCAATCAGGAATTCAATCTGAATTCATGAAAGTACTATGTACAGGATATTGACTATGCAAATCAAGTTTTGATGTTTACAATATATGAACAAACTCTTTACTGGCCTTTACATGCAGTTTTCCTTATTCTGATTATTTGCTTAGAATTGTGGTTATATTCTTCATCATTAATGTTAGACACTCTTCTTGCCCCTGTTTCATAGTACGTAAAGTTATCATAAAGTTGAGTGAATAACACACAACATCTAAGTATGTCTGAGAGCGGTTAAGGCTTGTTTAATTTAAAATAGCCATTTTTAATTTCGATTGACTGGAAGGTATTAAAATAATCATGTAATGTACCGTTAGATCCAGTTAGTTTTGATGATCACAGTTCGAAATGAACATCTAGAACATTAGTATTAATTAAAGTAACCTAGTGACAGTCACCGGAGCATTTATTAATTTGAGTAATCACAAGGACACTGACGTGGAGCCAACTTTTTTATGATCAATATGCTTAAAAATATATGTGAAGATGTACTGTAGCTAATGCATAAGCGATTAGATGTGCCCATGTCATTTACATGCACTCACGTGATCTCTCTCGTGCATGTACTTCACTTCTGTCTGCCTGTGACAGATTGAAAGCTGGACTGAGAGACCTAACATGTCATGATGAAAATTTGGTCAATTTTTGGATCAAAACTAGTCTATAGTCTGCTAAATGACCATGGAATAATCTGCTTTGCATCATGCAGTTCCTTGCTTCCATGTCATGCTTTTAAAATCCTTTAATGTTCGCCAATCCACTGATTATCCCTTACATATGTTACTGTTTCATGCAGTTATGGTTATAGAGATAATGAGCTTAACTACATTACTTTAATGAAAATGTCATGTTTACATGATGTAAAGTTTAAACACAATGTTTAAAAGAACATTCCACGTTTTTGGAGACAGGCTCATTTGACAAGTCACCTAAAGTTTCTGAATCCATTCAGCTAAACTCTCTGGCAGGAGCACTTTTAGCTTAGCTTAGTTTAGCTTGGATTAGCATAAATCAGTGGATCAGATTAGACCATTATCTCTCTCATATTTTCAAAAGGGAAATTTTTATTAATTTTCCTATATTAAAGCTTGACTCTTCTGTAATTACAGTACATTGTATACTAAGAATGATGAAAAGTGAAAAGTTGCTATTTTAGGCCGAGATAGCTAGGAAGTTGGAACTATACTTTCCAGCATAATAATAAAGTTGCTATATCATGGCTGTAGAGGCGCAATTAAATTATGTTAGATTTCAAGAATTTAAAAAGATTTGGTAACAGATTTTAAACATAATATTTATAATATCTAATTTCTATTAACTCGTTTATTTTGTCTGCACAATGATGATAATACATAAAAGTTTTACTGCAATATATTAGTATTCAGTTAAAAGTGCCATTTAAAGCATTAAATAGGTTTATAAGGCAAGTTAGGTTAATAAGGTAAGTTATTGGGAATAGGGCTTTGTTCTGTAGCCAGTGGGGGAGGGGGGTCTTAAGGGGGCTAGTGATATAGACCTTAAAAATATTTATTTATTTTTTTTAACTGCTTTTATTCCACCCAAACAAATAAAGGCTTTCTCCAGAATAAAAATTAATAAAAATTAAAAACTACACTTAGGTAATATTTGGAAAAAGAAACTTCACATAATAATAATGTTGTCTTCAGCTGTATTTTATTTTTATTTCATTGAATTCAGATGGAAAAAAAAAACATGAAAAAATATGTTTTATTGTTTCCTCCACTGCTTAAATTGTTGTTGATGATGATGAGGAGGATGAAGATGTAGTTTAATTTGTTTGTTTTTAAAGACAATCTAATATATTTATCTTTCTTTTAAGAAAGCCCACTGCTTAAAATTTCAAGAACAAAAAATGTCCTTGCTGTAGCCACATTTGAAAGGCTGGAAAGACTGCAGATATCCACAAGATTTTGTCTCTTTTTATTTTGACAATGATTCAGCTTTATTGTTGATCAAATTAAAGCAGTCCATTTTGAGTTTAATGATTATTAATTCATGAATTATGATGTATTTTATTATCACTGTATGTGGGCAGAGACAAATCAAACTGTCACAAAAAAAATTGTTTCATCAAAAAATCAGCAACCCACATTTGCCACATCAAGTTTTATGTATGTGCAAATCGCCTTTTAAAATAAAGTTTCTGGTACAACGTGGCGCCCTCTGGGGGTGGGGGGTAAGGGGGTTTGGGATGATTCTAGGGGCCCACGCTAATTTGGGGCCGCCAGAGCTCTGCTCTTCACTTCTGTCCACAACACCATCCCTACTACCCCACATTTTTGTCTACAACACCACCACTCCCCCTAACCGTGATGTTATAGGGCCCAAATTGGCCAAATGTATCTGTCTGTGGACTGCAAGAAGGGGGCTTGCAGCTACCGATGTCACACAGAATCATGCGAGATGTCACATGGTTGGGTTTAGGGTTGGGTGAGGTGTAGACATTAATAACTGTGGTGGTTGGGTTTAGGGTTGGGAAAGCTGTAGATGTTAATAACTGGGATGGTTGGGTTTAGGTTTGGGGAAGGCATAGACATTAATAATTATGATGGTTGGCTTTAGGGTTGGGGTTAGTGAAGATGTTAATAACTATGACGGTTGGGTTAGGTGTAGACATTAATAACTATGACGTTGAGTTAATGGTTGGGGAATGTGTAGATGTTAATAACTGTGTTGATTGGGTTGAGGTTTAGGTAAGGTGTAGACATTCATCACTGTGATATTTGGGTTTATTGTTGAGGAAGGTGTATCCATTAATAACTATGATGGTTGAGTTAATAGTTGGGGTTGGTATAACTTTAATAACTTTAATAACTGTGATTATGGAACTGAGTTTTGGGGAAGGCGTAGACGTTAATAACGATGGTTGGATTTAGGGTTGTGGTAGGTACACACTTTACACACTGGACACAGTTTTTCTGTATGGTTTTTAATTCCCTAAAGCAATTTTGCTCAGCCTTTGTTGTGACCGAAACATTTTGAGATCATAATACATTCCACACAGAGAGTAATAGACTGAACAGAATTCTCAAAATATATCCAAATAGGTTTTTTGCAGTAAAAACATTCACAAACAACAATCTTGTAAAAAACTATATTAATGTTGATCTCAAGTAACATTGGGCAATAAATTTGTAATTTATATAAAGGAAACACTGAGACACTGTAGAGAAAGGTTTAAGTATTTTTCTCTTAACCCTCTTAATATGATGTATTTTTTCAATCAGTTAGAATTGTAGGTCTGCTGCATGCATTGTGTTTAGCCCACCACAATTAAAATGTTCCTTAAATTAAGATTTTCAATGTCATTTTTAAGAAAGGCAGATTTAGATTAACATACAGTATTATATTTATATGCAGCTTATGTTTGTTCTACTATTGTAAAAAGATCATTGATTTGCATTTGAGTACAAAATGGCTCATTTTGGTGAGTCACTACATAAAATAGAGCTGTTTTTTACTATATATGAGTCATCAAATCCTAAGAAAAAAAAACTGTAGGCAAAATTGGTAGAAAAGTTCACCTCTAAATTTTGCACCTTTTGCTCGATTTTGTATAAAATTGAAAACTTGCAAAAAGAAATTGGTTGACTTTACTTAAAAAATACTTTTAAAGCAACAGGTTTACTTACTTTATTAAGTAAGTAAATAAATGCTGAATGTTGGGATCACACAGACAGAATGTAATATGATATTAAAATGCATTTTGAATGATATTTCCTATTGTCTTGCACTACAGTCATACTAATGCTAAATCCTCTTACACTAAGTTTTGAGGTTCAGGGTCTTTTATACCAAAGGAAAAGCAAACAAAAAATTGTTTTCCCTGTCACTCATTCTACAAAAGTGAGTGTGAACTTTATAACAGCGAACCGATGTCATTTCCTATTCCACACGTTCCATGCAAAAAAAACTCAAGTGCTCGTTATTTCTATAGCTTTCCTCTTTACTGTTACAGGACTGGATTCTAATACATAATAAAACACCCAAACTGAAAACATCAAACACTCTGTCAATACTGGAGACTATGCTGTCCAATTCTGAAAGCATGAATTATTCAGAGCCTGAGGGAATCAAACTAAAGCTGCCACTGTCACTCTGGTGCTTATTCGGCTTAAAGCTGTGTGTCAGGCAGGTGGCATCTGGGGGTGTCAACACCACTCACCTTGTCTCACAAACGTCTGGCTGGTGTCAAGGAGGATGTCGCAGCCCTCCACGATCATGCGCTCAATAGCCAGGTTCTTACGGATGTTTTCGGTATCACTTACTTCATCGTGCATCACCCTGGAACAATGAGAACATGACACTTGCGTCACAAGTCAACACATGAGAAAGTCACGTTATTGTGTTTTGCCACTTTGAGAAAGTCATCCCTGCCAAAACGCACTTGTGTGAAGTGTAAGCGTGCTGTATTTATCGCTACTGCACGATGCCAAGAACAAGAGCATGGGAAATTGACTCAAACAGCTAAAGCATTCATGGTCTGCATTGTTTTGACATGTTGTTCACTGTAAGTATTTAAATGTAAATCAACTGTGATTTCAAATGTAGAGAATGACATACATCAGTGATTACAAAAGACCTTCATCAGCTGGTTTGCTGGTGCCATAATAAATAAAACATGTTTTCAGTTTCCATTTACCACATGCTATTCGTAGCAGAATTAATGCAATGTTGAGTACAGCATCCAAAGAGTGCTGCTTTTTGTAAATATGGCATAATTTCTAATGATCTGCAAAAAAGGAAACGTGTTTGTAAAGAGAAAACCTACTTAACACTCATATTGCAACAAATCTTGAAAAAATTTATGGGCAACGTTTGCATAATTTAAATTTTGGCCATAATGGTGAACACAGAGGGTCAAAATGGTCAAACATATTTACATACAGGGGTGAGTTTATTTAATGATGGTCTTGTGTGTGTACAGAGCACAACTCACTCCCAATAATTTTGACTAAAACAATATTACTAATAACTGTTATTAGACTATTATTAGATGACTATTAGATTTTCACTGACAGCCCAAATTAGCCTTGTAAGCCAGGCTGTTTAAATTAGTCAGTTTAAATTAGTTTAAATTAGCAAGGCTTCATATCTATTAGATGTCTGTGAAGCACTCAAAAAAACTTGCTTATGGTGCTTGTAGTGTTCCCAGGTACTATATGTAATGCGATGCATATACAACCTATTCAGACTGATATGATTGGGTTTCAAACTGGCGAATCCAACATACTATGTGGTGCCCTAAAAGCCTTTAACTGAGGTTTATTTACACTGCTTACAGAAGCTGGCCACTGTTACACTTATTGACCATGTTAAGGGCTTAATCCTTTCAGCTTCTGGCATTAATAACACACACAGCAGCAGATTGCAATAATTTGGCATGTGACTTACTAGGTAAAGCATTTGGTTTTAAGTCAATTATTGGCTTGTTCTTCTTGACTGTATATATATAGTGCTTAACATATATGACCCCTCAAAAATCTATCTTTTAAATTCATATTTCTAATAGGAAGCTATACAGTATTATATTTGTGAATATACATTAAATTAGTGAGTGCTGAAGACAAATCTGGAGCTTATCTAACAAAATAAGTAACAATAATGATGGAAAAACTAGTGCACCCAAATTTATATGGTAGAGAAAAATATTAAATACAAATTTTAAAAAAGAGGAAAAATCAAGAGAAGCAAAAAAGAAAGAGATTTAATTGAAATTGTGTAGGTTGTAATTTTATTTTATTTTTTATTTTATTTTATTATTTTTTTATATTTGGCTTGAATTTAATTGTATTATTTTTTAATTTTTAAATATGTTTGGAGACTAAAATGTAATTTTAATAAATATATTCATTCAATAAATCTGTTTTGTTTAAATGCACTAAAATACATTGCCCACATTCACTGAGAAATGGATAAAAATATTCATTTTCAAAATGAGGTGTACTCAATTTTGCACTGTAAATATATATACTGTATACTGTATATACTTAGATCAGGCATGTAAATAGGATTTAAGCAAGGTACAGATTTAAGGTAGTTTCCTCACCTGGAAAGCTCCTCCAGTTTGGACTTGGCAAATTCTAGACTTTTCCTTTCCACATGCTCATGAGGAGTATGAGCCAATAGCTCATGGAGAGTAATGATGTAACGAGGGATCTGTCAATCAGAGAGACAAACACTGTGATAAGTATACAAAGCAAGTCATTTTCTGACTTCAGAACGTGTGCCCACAGAAAGCCTGTCCCTCAATCAAGTTTTTCATTGTACTGTACATCTCTCATGTCATACATGTCTGTTATTTAAACACTGTGGCTAATTTGATAAGGCTTTCATTAAAGAGTGTAGCATTGTTGGCTCCAATCAGTTCCACTGAGTTTACCCCAACATTGTAAGCCTTGTAAGCAAATCGAATAAACAAATTACATTTGTATATAGCGTTGTAACTGAACAATTTGTTAATATTAAACTGCAATATAGATATATATATATACTTTATACAGTATATTTGGGTTTTCTCTGGGTGCTCCTGTTTTACCCCACAGTCGAAAGAAATGCAGTATAGGTAAATTAAATAAATTAAATTGGCCGTCGTATATAAGTGGGTGTGAATGAGTGTGTATGGATGTTTCCCAGTACTGGTTTGCAAGCAGGAAGGGCATCTGGTGCATACAACATATGTTGGAAAAGTTGGCGGTTCATTCAAAAAAGATTTTTTGAAATTGTTGCGAATTTATCAAAACTAAAAAAAAAACCTGAAAATCACATGCACATAAGTATTCACAGCCTTTGCTCAATACTTTGTTAATGCACCTTTGGCAGAAATTACAGCTCTCAATTCTTTTTGAATAAGGTGCAACAAGCTTGGCACACCCGTCTTTGGGAATTTTTATTCATTGCTCTTTGTAGTACCTCTCAAGCTCTATCAGGTTGGATGGGAAGCGATGGTGTACAGTAATTTTCAGATCTATAATTTTTAGATGTTTAATAGGATTTAGGTCTGGGATCTGGCTGGGTCACTCCAGGACATTCACCAACTCGTTGTGAAGCCACTCCATTGATATTTTGGTGTGTGCTTTGGGTCATTGTCCTGCCACAGTCTGAGGTCAAGATCACTCTGAAGCAGGTTTTCATTCAGGATGTCTTTGTACATTACTGCATTCATCTTTCTCTTTATCCTGACTAATCTTCAATTTCCTGCTGCTGAAAAACATCCTCACAGCATGATGTTGCCACCACCATGTGTCACTGTAGGGATGGTATTAGCCTGGTGATGAGCGGTGCCTGGTTTTCTCTAAACGTAACACCTGGCATTCACTCCAAAGAGTTCAATTTTAGTCTCCTCAGACCAGAGAATGTTGTTTCTTGACCCAAAATGTTGGTCTGGGAATCATTTAGATGCCTTTTGGCAAATTCCTGGCAGAGTGGCTTTTGTCTGGCCACTCTACCTTACAGGCCTAAATGGTGGATTTCTGCCCAGATGGTTATCCTTCTGTAAGGTTCTCCTCTCTTCACAGAAGAACGCTAGAGCTCAGACAGAGTGACCATTGGGTTATTGATCACCTCCCTGACTAAGGCTCTTCTGACTAAAGCTCAGGGAAGGCCAGCTCTAGAAAGAGTCCTGGTGGTTCCAAACATCTTACACTTACGGATGATGGAGGCCAGTGTGCTCATTGGAACTTTCAGAGCCGCTGGAATTTTTTAGAAACCTTCCCCAGCCTTGTGCCTAAAGACAATCCTGTCTCAGTGGTCTACAGGCAGTTCCTTTGTCTTCATGCTTGGTTTGTGCTTTGACATGTACTGTCAACCCTAGGAACTTATATATACAGGTGTATGCCGTTTCAAATCATGTCCAATCAACAGAATTTACCACTGGTGAACTTTAATTAACCTGGTAAAACTTCTCAAGAATGATCAGTGGATACAGAATAAGCTCAATTTAAACCTTCACGGCAAAGGCTGTGAATACTTATGTTGATGTGATTTTTCAGGTTTTTTCATTTGGTCACACTTTACAATAAGGTTCATTAGTTAATGTTAATTAATGCATTTACTAACATGAACAAACAATGAACAATACATTTACTACTGTATTTATTCATGTTAATAAACGTTAGTTAATGAAAATACAGTTGTTCATTGTTAATGTTAACTCATAGTGCATTAACTAATGTTAACAAACATGGACTTGGATGTTAATAATGCATTAGTAAATGTTCAATTATGATTAATAAATGCTGTACAAGTGTTGTTCATGATTAGTTAACGTTAGTAAATGCATTAACTAATGAACCATATTGTAAAGTGTTACCTTTTATTTTCATTAATTTGCAAAAATTAAAAAAAAATTTCTCACATTGTCATTATGGGGTACTGTGTGAAGAATGGTGAGGAAATAAATTAATTTAATGCATTTTGGGATATGGCTGTAACAAATGTGGAAAAAATGTGGAAAAAAATGAAACGCCATGAATACTTTCCGAATGCACTGTATACTGTATATGGGATATTTAAATGTAATATATGTAAAATAGGATGTGCACATGTAATTTAAGTGTGTGTTACCTAATCATGTGAAAACCATATTATAATATTGTTCTGTGCAATAATGTATACATTTGAATTTCATATATTTATAACAAATCTTTAATGCAGGTTTTATACATGTTTTCTATCATAGCTTCGAAATAGAATTAATTTTAGAAATCTGTTCAGAATCAATAAGAATGTTCAGAATTGATTGTCAACAGAAATAGCACAAATCCATGTACTAAAACATCATTGTCTGTGCAATGAAAAAAATTAACAATCCCATCTATAACACTAAATAATACACTTTGCCTTGATTCGCTTGCTGATGCTTTCTGCAATGTCTGCTATCCATCAAGTGACTCTATTTATTACATATATATTATATTCATTCGTATGGTTCATTCGCAACATTTAATTCCCGTTTTTAGCTTAACTGTTGAAAAAAACAAAATAAAAATTATGTTAATCTATGCATTTCTGGTTTAAAAAAATATATTTCATAAATATTATACCTTTGGTCTTTATATAAGGTGTGATGGTAATATAATTCCTTGTGTGTAACATATAACACAATATAATTTGTAAAATACCAAAATACTGTAGAGACATTTTACATTTGCATATGTCTGAGCAATTGAGATACTGTGTATCAGGCTTCAACAAGTGACAAATGAGGCTTTTAGCAAGTTACAACAATTAGTTCACGCAAATAATTTATGGGAAAACACATTTCTTATTTGTAAAAACATATGCCAGCAATTCCCAATGGCAGTTTAAATTAACTGAACAAATCAGTTAAATTAGACACTAATGAGAATGCGAGAGCACCACCTGAAACATGGGGTATGTGAGGAATGTTTCCAGCATCCGTCCCTCACACGCAGCATTGGATTCATACTGCTTCAGGAGTTTATCAAAGTCCCGGTTCTGTTTGCAGTTTGCAAGAACCTGAAGACTGTACTGGTGGTTCCTCACAAACTCCTGATAGATGTTCAGCATTGGCAGCAAGATATCAAAGAGGTCCGCTAAACAGGTGAAAACAAAGTCAAAGTCATTAAAAGAGATTCTTTTATGCACAGCCACATTTGAAAATGCTTATCTGGGGTCTAGGATGTTGGCGTTTTTTTTTTTTTTTTGGTCTGGCTTTCATTGTTGCTGAAGTGTGTGTGTGTGTGTGTCTGTATACGGTGAGATAGGAGGAAGTCAGGCGTCAATGACGGGTTTGATTGAGATGCCGTGCGTCAGCGGAAACGGCTTGTCCTTGATGTGAGTGTCACCCTGCAATGTGCTGTCTTTGTTGGTAGGGTGTTCTGAATAGCTGCTTCTGAGTGCAGTAATTAGCTTTCTGAGAGATAAAAACGTAATGTTTATGACATACCTAGAACCAGCGTGGGCCAGTTTGCTATCCTCGCCTTCAATCCCTGATGGAATATTTCATGTAGAAACATGATTGTCTCGCTGGGGACAAATAAAACATATATACATATACTTATTAGTACAGAAGGGCATTCAAAAGGATGTTCAAAGAGCAAGCAAATCAATCATTTTTGATAATACTATCAGGTTCAAAGCTAAACTCACCCAAACTTAAATGTTTTTGTTAATTTAATGACCATCAGGGCATCAGTATTACATGAGCATTATGCTTTAGAGGTCCCGTGAAGTGCTTTGAAATGTGATTCTACATAGATTAGCCCCTCCCCTTTAAAAGAACAGCCAATAGCGTTTTGTTTTCTCGCTGCTTTGTCTGTGAAAGTGATTGAGCTCAAGCGCATCAAATGAAAAGCAAATGAGAAGCATCTTAAAGGGGGCGGTGCATGTCAGATACTAGAGAGCATTTGATTAGTCAAGATTTGAAGAGAAACTGCAGCATGGGCTGACATGAAAAAAATCATTAATCTATTCAGGCAAAAGGGACAATCTGCAAGCTTTACATGTTTACATCAGTTTAATATTTTCATAACATGAATTTTGTCACTGTTTTGGAGCACACAATCTAATAGATATCTTAAACCTCACGAACTGAAATTAACATCTAAAAATGTTTTTATTTTATTTTCATGGAACCTTTAAATAATGTTCACTTTCTTGCACAGAATAATCATATGCTTTTATTTTTTTGTTCTCACTTTATTGTACAGTATTAATAATACAACTATGAACTATGAAATTTATGTAACTATGAACTTGCATCAATAAACTCATAATTTGCTGCTTTGTACATATATTAATTTTTACATACATAATTTTATATATATATTAATTTATTGTAAATCTCTGTTCATAGCTAATACAACCTGTTTCTAATGTTTATAGTACATCTGTAAATATCACCATAGTTTTTCTATTACTGCACTTTATAACTTATACAGTACCTGTCCCCTGCACCATGCTTTTTGCACTGCTGGTTAGACCTAAACTGTTGCGTTGCCTTGTACTTGTACATGTGTAATGACAATAAAGTTGAATCTAAATCTAAAAAATCTAAATCTTATTAATAGGTATTAAGGTAGAAGTTAGGTTTAGGTATTGGGTTAGATAAGGGATGTAGGGTCACACTTTATTTTGATGGTCCGTTTGTTGAATTTAAGTTACATCGCATCTACATGCCAACTAATTCTCATTAGATTATAAGTAGACTGTTAGGTTGGGTTTAGGGTTGCGGTTAGGGTTAGTGTAAGTTGACATGTTCTTGCAAAGTTTCTTATAGTCAGTTACAGTAAATGTCTGTTTAGCAGCAGTATCAACAGATATTAAGCAGACAGTCTACTTATAATCAAGTGGACCATCAAAATAAAGTGTTACCAAATGTAGAACACATTATTAATAAGCCACAAGTTTATAGAGAAAATTGGTGCATAAACTGAAGTGTTAACTGATTTCATTTGCAAGAAAAAGTATGAATTGTGAGATACAAACACATATAGTAATTGCAAAAACAAAAACAAAATCATCAAACAGAAAAAGTGGATTGGAACGTCCTGAAGGTAAGTAATAGAATTTCAGTTTTGGTGAACTACCCCGTTAACAGCAAATGTTCAGTTTTGGTTGTATTATTAATATACAGTGCTTCCCTTTTGAAACATACTTGCTGTGGTAGCCGGATTGAAACACACCTTACAAACCTTTTACCCACAGCACATAAAAAGTTAACTATATGAGACAAATAAAACTTAATTTGATATTTAACACTATTTAATTTTTATCTGTTAAAAAAAAATAATAAATGAATATATATATATATATATATATATATATATATATATTAAAGTGGATTCAAGTAAAATAAGACAAAAAAATCCATTGTTTCTCTTTTATGCTATTCAGGAGCCATGTGCACCCACAACCACGAACAGGTCAAATCTGCTTCTCTCTATCTCTCATTCAAGTTCAGTTTGCTTTATTGGCATTACATGTTGTACAGTATTGCCATTGCATTTTAGATGTATAAAATATGTAATATATTGAAATCATCAAATTAACAAAATATACAGCAAATGAGAAATAATTGACAGAAAAAATATATAAAAACAGACAAAAACTTTAAAAAGTATAGTAATTACAAGAATAAAACATGTAGATTATTTAAATAAGTCAAATGAGTTGAATACCCATTTCTAATGGTGTACAAATATTCTAAAGCCAATTTAGACGTAATTTTGTACTCTCCAAGTATTTAGAAAAGTTCTTATAAATCGTTTAGATTGAAGAATTATGTCTTGCTCTCGCTCTTGCTCTTGCTGTCATGGCTGTGTGCATAAAATTAAGGAAAGCTTATTAAATGAAAGCAAAACCAAATCTTGGACATTTTAGTAGATTTAGAAATCCCGGCAAGATACAAAAAGATGCAAGTCTCTGTGAAACTGCAGAGCACACTGTCTTTGGGAGTGTTGGCAGGTCTCGTGCACACAGATGGAGCAGTATGAAATGTTCAAAGGAGAGAAGATTTTTCATGACTAAATCGATTGCGGATGTTTGTTTATATTGTGCGGATGCAAAAAAAAAAAGTGTTAAATGATGACAATAATAGTAAAATGTGTAAAAATAAAGAAAGTAAACTGCTATAATATCCAAAATTATATATTTTTTTAATTGGTTGCAGCAAGGCTAAAACAAAGAACAATATTTCAAAACATTTGTAGGGTATAATTAACATACTGTACAATATTCACTACATTTAAATGAAATGTTTCAAAGCACAACACAATTCAGCTAGTCTACCCTACAACATCATTTGGTATAATTATTATAATTTTGATTAAACATGCGACGTGGCAGGTGTGGTGTTGCTGACTATTTCTGTGTTGCAGACAGATGCAAATTAAGTAGTCCTAGCATGCAAACAAGCTGTCACAACACTGCAGTAATAATGTGTCAACACTGAGGCTCTCTTGTATACATATTTTACATAGCCCAGGCTAATCGGGAAAACATGGTTTAATTTCTAAAAAACGATAATATGTTGCTTGTTGCATTTAATGCATCACTTTCAGGGTTGTGTCACACTTGTTGCTTGGTTCAAACAGAGTGCAGTTTATATGAAAAAGTTAATGTTTATGCTTTTCTAAACTACCTGTAGCAATTGGTCTGTGTTCAGATACACTACACTGCAAAAAAGCAACTAGCTGACTTTACTTAAAAAACTGAGTAAACCCTGTGGCTTAAAATTATTAAAGCTGCAGTAGGTGATCTGTTAAAATGCTAACCGTTAGCATAATAGCTTTGAAAACACAGTCCCTCCCCTGCAGTAATAAGCCACGCCTCCTGAAATCACGAACGTGCACATTAAAGATGACAGTAGACAACCCACTAGATCATGTCATTCGCCAGTAAGAAAACTTTATAGAACTTTATAATACTACAATTACCAACGAATAACTGTATTATATCTAGCACATTTTCAGTTGTGTAGCAAGTTAAACTTGTCAAAATGTGAAACATTTCATGCAATAATGTGAACTCCAATATTGATTCAGGATTTTAAAAAGTTCTGATTCAGCATTTGTTTTTGCACCAATGACGGATCTGCGTGAACGAGTGTGCAGATGTGCAAATCTACAAATCTACACAATTATCAGAACAATGGGAAGTATTGGCCCGACAATTTTTAATTGGATGAACATTTTTTTGCCTCACTCAGAATATAAAAATACATAGAAATACATAGAAATTCATTTAGATCAGTGGTTCTCAAACTTTTTTTCATCAAGTACCACCTCAGAAAAAAATAGTCTCTCCAAGTACCACCAAAATGAGCAGTATTGAAATACAGTAGTGTAGTAGGCCCAGCAAAGCAGATACAACTCTGCACAGTTAAAAAAAGTGGCAGATTACCTCAGAAATATAAGCTATATGTCATAGATGGCATATTATATACATCATTTTTGATACATTTTGAAATGTGTATAGCATGTACATGACATATTTCATTCCTCTGTGTACCACTAGAAGGAAGCCTGGGCACCACTAGGGGTTTTATCATTATCATTTACTTTTATCACTACTATTATCATACTATCATTTACTTTTATCACTACTATTGAACCAGCACAACAAAAAAAAAAAATGTTTCTAAAGACAATCACCTACTGCACCTTTAGGTAAATGAATTGTTTGCATACTTAAAAAAAAAAAAAGTTAAGTCAAATGTTAAGTTCCAAGTGTACTCACCTTTTAAACTAAAGTCAGCTTGTTGTTTTAAGGTAATGGTTTTACTCACTTTTTAAAGTAAAGTAACAAACTGATTTTTACAGTGTACGTACATGTGAATGTGAAAGTAACTCAAACCTGGGTAAGCACTTGTTCAGAATGTAGGTAGGCAACACAACATGCTTTTTAGCTGATTAGCAAGTCATTAGTTCAACAAAACACTTTGAGAAAGACCGTTTGATTATTTACATTGCATAAAAGTGATTACAGAGTGAGCATGCAGTGTGATTGTGTTGAATAAGTGGCATAAGATTGGCAAATTAATACTGTAGCTAGAAAACAAGCTTTCAGTTTGAAGGTTTTATTGCATTAAAACTCAATGTATTGGGTCTGACCTGTGTTATGTCTTCTGTTGACCAAGATGAATGCAAATGCTCTAGGATTTGACAAAAGTTTGTGGTTTCTACAAGTTTTGGTTCTCTTTTATTATGTCAAATTTTACCCAAGCACAACAGTTTATTCCTGTACCAGGTAGACTACTTTGTCTAAAAATAAGTCAATTTGGGGTGCATGTGTAATTAACTAAGGTCGCAAGTTCTGTTATTACAAACATAGTTTGCTGATTTGGCGTTTCTCATATCCATCGTTCCAATAAACATTCGCAAACTGCGTCGCAAACTTGTACAACAGCAACTACACCTCTGGAGCTGTCGTTAGAAACACAATTCCTGGTTGTGTTCTATTCCCAGTTATCCCCAATGCCCTATTCATTTAGAAACTTTTTCTGTTTAAACTTGGAATGATAAAAAAAAAAAAAAACATTTAAGTCATCACTCTTACGTGTAGTTTGCTCTCAAAGTATTTTTACAGTTCAGTTTTAGCGATCTTCATATTGACAATTTCGCTCCCTTGGCAGTGCACTTTGTAAACATTACTGCCATTTTGAACTCATGATGAAAGCTATAGGTGACCTATTATTTAAAAGCAGAATTTACTTTGTCTCCAAAGCTTGTGAAAAACAAAAATATAGCCTACAAGGTTTTAATTTATAGTAGGTTATTTACTACTACATGATATGATCATATGATTATGTGAAAATAAAAGTGATTTGATTTTTTGATTCGATTTTACTAAGAAATGTATATGTACTGTGGGCCTATATAACATATAGTGTTAAGCATGTTAGTTAGAACATTTCTGCAGTGGTTTCAATGTGTCAAATTTTAAAAGTAGAATTTTACAATAAATAACATAAAATAAAATAAATTAATAAATAAACATATAAAATAATAAATAAAGATCCTACTTAATAATAATAAAAATAATAATAATTATTAAGTCAGATTTACAAAAAGAATGTTGTTTTTCAAGCAACGTTGTGTTCTCACAGCAATTCGTAACTTTTTGTTTTGGTGGCCAATTTTTTATGGATTTGTATTTCATTCAAACAATTTAGTATGATGTGATCTTCCACCAATTATGGTTGGGTTTAGGGGTAGGGTTGGGTGCCATGCATCTTTTTTAAAATCGTACATTTTCGTACGACTGCACTTATACAAATTTGTATAAATTAGTCCCAAAATTGACTAAGTGTAAAATAGTTAAGTTTCCAATCGAGATCAGGGTGTTCAAGCCATATAAGTCAACAATTACGCACCTGTTAAGGAATATGCTACTGACATCATCATGGCTTATAGGTGGTTTCTTGGAGCTGGCGGCCATTCTGAGTGGCCTCAGGAAGCAGTTGACTAAAATGGAAAGCTGATGGACGTACTCAGTCTCAGCCTCCACCATGTTGAAGACGATCTGATTCCTCTTCCTCATGCTCTCAGCATGAGGAGAACAGATGTAGTCCTGCACAATAATCTTCCACTTCCTTCTACACAGCCACCCTCGCATGAAGCTCTGGACCTACAGAGACAAAGTGTTTAGGATTATCATTTGTGGTCATTTGAGTATGATGATCGAGATCATGCAGAATAACCTCAGGAGGTTGTTTATTTTTACCTTTTTAATTTTTTTTATATCAGGATCTTCCTCTTCTTGAAATACATGGTAGGGGCGCATTCTTTCCTTGGTTTTGTTCAAGGCTATAATCTTTAAGAGAGAACAAAATACGACATAACTGAGCAACACAGTTTAAAAAAACCTTTGCGAAAGGAAATTGGTGGAAGTGACTGTCAAGATGATTGGGCAGTAAATGGTTGCTTTGATTATAATTTGACAAATCAGATAATGCTTGGGTTTTTAGCGCTCATCCTTCTCAATGAAGGATCTGTGTGTCGTAAATTTGGGTCAATGCGACCCTGTTTGGGTGCTGGCACATCAGATATCCATCTAAACTTCCTCTCCATGGACATTTTCCTTCCTTCAATCAACAGCCATCATCAAAAAGCTCTTGCACTAAACCTTTATCGGGCATTTACTCTGGATGCAAATCGGTTAAATGCCCTGCAGCTTATCTCCCAGTATGTGTGGTCTATATGCACAAACCAATGACTTTAGTTTACTGAAGCGCTATTGTGCTTTAAATTCAGGGTAGTAGTCATACTTGTCATATATACAGTTGAAATCAGAATGATTAAACCCCCTTTGAAATGTTTTTCTTTTTTAAATATTTCCCAAATGATGTTTAACCGAGCAAAGAAATATTCACAGTATGTCTAATAATATTTTGTTTTTTCTGAAGTAAGTCTTATTTGTTTTATTTTGGCTAGAGTAAAAGCAGTTTTTATTTTTTAAAACCATTTCAAGGTAACAATTATTAGCCCCTTTAAGCTATTTTTTTCCCCGATAGTCTGCAGAACAAACCATCCTTATACAATAACTTGCCTATTACCCTAACCTGCCTAGTTAACCTAATTAACATAGTAAAGCCTTTAAATGTCACTTTAAGCTGTAAAATCTAATAAAATATTATTTACTGTCATCATGGCAAAGATAAAATAAACAGGGAATAAACAGGGAGGCTAATAGTTCTGACTTCAGCTCTATATTTTTTGTTCATTTCAGATAAAAAAAAAAATATAAAACTCTTTACTCCTTCTCTGTAAAAGTGGATTATTGTAACAAAATATTTATTATATTGTGATATGTAAGCACACTCTTATTGTTGTAAACTGAGCATTTCATATAAAAAACATAGTTACGTATTAAAATCTTGACTTTATGTTATCAAGTGTCTTTATGTTCCCCAGTAGTAGTCATCTTTAAAATTTATTTTACAATGTTTTTTTTTCTCCTCATGAAATATTCAAAACTCACAATGAGTTTGAAAACAGATGCTTCTGTTCAAAACAACAAAGCATTGCTCTTGTGGCTTTATCATTTATTCATAGAAGAATACTACAATTATAATCGGCACGCAACCACATAAAACTATTTTGTGACAATTTTTATTAAATATCAGATATGCATCTGAAATGGTAGTGCAAGAAAACTATTATGTAATATCAGATTTATCAAAATTAACCAATAAGCAAAGTCAGCAGCCGCTTAGCACCCCAGAACATTTAGGGCCTCCCATACACCTAAAAGTATAAATTATACACATAACATAATTTTCTATTATAATTTGTATGGTGAAGGTCTAACCAATTCAATTGTAATTTAATTATAACATCTACACAGTAGATCTTAGGTAAAGATTCAGTTTTAAACAATTTATTATTTTTGATTTATTCATTATTGTGTGTGTGTGTGTGTGTGTGTGTGTGTGTGTGTGTGTGTGTGTGTGTGTGTGTGTGTGTGTGTGTGTGTAAAAATGTGTTTGTGTTTGTATGTATATATATATATACAAACACACACACATTTCTATTAAAGCTATCAGACATACATTATATCCAATATTTATTATATCCAACTGTTAAGATCTTGTCAAACCATATAAGCATTCTAACATAAAATAAGCATCCTATAAGCATTATAACATTATATATATATATATATATATATATATATATATATTATGTGTCTGAATAATGGAATAATGTTTGCTTTGAAGAAAATGGATTGGTGGATGGATGTAAGGATGGATGGATGGAAGTTTATTTATAAATCATATTTCATATTTCACATTTTAACAATGGCAATTCAAAGTGCTAATCGCAAAATAAAATAATCTTAATCACACATTAAGTATAAGAAATAAAAATAAAAAAAGAATTCAAATGATTAAAAACAGATAAAAAATGTATTCAAAGTAGTTTCAGATAGATAGCTACATAGATGCATTAGATACATACTGAGAAGTTCGTATAATCAGCTTAATAACGATAACACCTTCCTTATTGCTTTGCATTGATTTACACTCTGAATTGTGTGTTCACATGCCACTGACCCTGCAATGTCAATAATAGGGCATAATTGTCATCCCCATGGTGACTGGGCCAATGGGGAGCATAGTTCCCGGTAACATGCCTAGGGAACAGAAAAGGTGCAGAGCAGCAGAGATGCTCTTTGGTACACTGGGACCAAATATGCTTACTGGTAACCTTAACAACAAAAAGAAATAGCACAAACTAGAAGAAGCAATAAGATAAAACCACAAGCCCATGTTGTGCTCCATATCAGGATTGTAAAGTCACAAATGCTTTTAGTACACAGGATCATTCAGTAATGGTGACATTTTGGAGACCTGCACTGTTATTAGATTAATGGGATCTAGAGTGGTTCACTGATTCATAAAATTGGACTACACGTTAGAAAACAGCCCATTAAATGGCACAGCTCAAGCATAGACCATACCTCAGCTTTAAGCCTCTCAATCTCAGTGTCTTGGTCCTCCAGTTGTGTGCGGAGCTGGTTTGCTGCCACTTTCTCCGTCTCCACGATTTGCACCAGGTGGATGTATTTCTGCATGAGAACCTCACGCTCGATGATGATATCAGAGTAGCTGGAATATAAGAGTTTGGTTGGTTAAGCACGGTCAGATACTATCAGGCCGCTACTGCATTTGACAACAAGCTAGATCATGTAATATTGTTGTGCCTAATTGGTAAACATATGAAGAATTCAGATGCAAAAGCCTCTTAATGCTATCAGAAAGCTAAGTCTAAAATGTGTGTTTTTCTACTTATTCCCTGTGTATTTTCAGATATTTCACTGTTTTGGTGATGAATGGGTTATTTTCAATGCCTTTAAAGTCAAACAAAAGCAGAGATGGCAAAAATACACACATCTTAATTAACTCAAGTAGAAGTTCAGATACTCAAGTCTAAATTGACTCTGGTAAACGTACTGACTGCACATTTTGCTCAAGTAAAAATAAAGAAATACAGCCTGAAATATGCCCTTAAGTAAAAAGGTATAAATTACTACTACCTGAATTAGTTTTACAGTGGTAACTATACTCCATGTACATCAGGTTTAAATTCTTAAAGTATATTTAAACATCTTTTATGTAAAATATCTTACTTGGGACACTACTAAATAAAAAAAAAAAAAAATATATATATATATATATATATATATATGTGTGTGTGTGTGTGTATTTTGTATAATCTCTGTTATTTTGTTAAAATTACTCACATGTTGGCACATTCTTTAAGGGGTATGTAAACTTTTAAGCACAACTCCATACATCTGTTTGTTGCCTGGTTTGTTAGTTTGTTTTCAGAGTATTGTGTATATTTTATTTAAGGATTAGGTCATTTGGTGCTGTTATTGCATTTTTGCATATTTTTCACTTAATAAATTCCTGATCCTTGGCATTGTTTTTCTTTATATATATAAATCATGCTGTATAAACACTTCTGATGTTTTAAAATATTTTTTGAACAATCGATCTAACAATAAATAAATGAAGACAAACGTGTGTGCATATGCATGTTAAAACTATGAAACAATATGAATTCTGCACTAGGAAATATTAACTTTTTGCAAACAAAGTAAAAATACATCTCAGTGCATCAAGCACTCATAGAGTATTTAATTGCTTTAGTAACGGAACAAACATGGTTGTTTAAGTTTTTTCGCGCTATTGGATTGAAAGATCAGAGAAGTACAGTACATCATAATAGGAAGTGGACAAAAGATTTAACCCCTTTTAAATGCCAGTTTTAAACAGAAATGTTAATTGTGTGAGGCTCAAAACACATTAAAACAAAAGTAACGAGCCTAATTTAAAAGTAAAAGTAAAAGTAAAAAAAGTAAAAGTAAAAAGTGAAAAGTTGTCAGAAAAATAAATAGTGGAGTAAAGTACTGATACCAGAAAAATCTTCTTAAGTACCGTAACGCAGTATTTGTACTTCGTAACTTCCCATCTTTAAATAACAGCATATAAACATAGGAGAAAATGCTTATTTTAGAAGAACATTTCAGATGGCATTTAAAGGTTTTTGCATCTGAACTCATCATATACATTCACATGCTCTCTAGAATACTCAGTGATTGGTCAGTCATGATATTCCAAGGTACAGTATGTCTAATGTTATTCCTAAATAACCAGTTATACATCCGGTTACTTCAAATCACCTTGACTGTCAGTGAATACGTCCCAACATCCCTGTTTTGGCTGTCTCACCACTGTTTTGGACTGTCTTTTGGTTTTGTTTCTGTCAGCTTACAGATGACAGAATTAATAAACAATTATGGTTTAGAACAATGTTTGGTGTCTAATTTTTACATTTTGTGCCAAGTGGAAGTGTAAATAGTAAGATAAAGTGCATACAATAATTTTTTTTTACAAAGTAAAACACTTCATTCAATCAATCAATCAATCAATCAATCAATCAATCAATCAATCAATCAATCAATCAATCAATCAATCAATCAATCAATCAATCAATCAATCAATCAATCAATCAATCAATCAATCAATCAATCAATCAATCAATAATAAAGCCTGTCAGGTTTTATTCCACAATAACAACAGCCTGGATGTATTTATCTCCTATTTATTAGTATATATAATATAAGCTTAGTACATTGGGGTCATAAATAGATATGTTGTTGCAACAACCCTCATTTGGTATTAAGGGGAAAAAATGTACCAAAAAAATCTCCATCACAATATATTACGATCAGCAGCCTTAACCGCTGACACAGGCAGAATGGACTCATGCTTTCATGTTGTCTATGCCAAATTATGATCCCATCATCTGAATGTCACAGCGGAAATCAATACTCATTCAACTAGCCCACCCTTTTCCAATCATCTATTGACCAGTTTTCATGAACCTCTGTGAATTATAGTTAGCTAACAGGAGTATCACCGTTCCTGTGTTCTATTGCCAGTTCCAATGTTCCAACGAATGATTTCAAAAAAACATTAAAGCCATCACTCTTATGTGTAATTTGCTATCACATTTCACAAGTATTTTTTACAGTTCGGTTTTATTTCAAACAGCGGCAACTTAGTGAATATTAATTAATATTAATGAATATTACACCTGCTCAATGAAAATCAGATGATTCACTACATTAATAAATCTGACATAACTTAATCAGAAATCTAAAAAGGAGAGAAAAAGAGTAGACATCAATAGCAGCAGATAACAGTGCAGTACTTATTTTATAACTCTAACAGTGCCGTCTTGGTCTAGTGGTTAGCACTACTCAGCAGGATTTTTTTTTTTTTTCATTTTTAGTGTTAAGACAAATAATACTGTTTGGGTTACTTGTGTAGGGGTACATTTGTGTGTGTGTGTGTGTGTGTGTGTGTGTGTGTGTGTGTGTGTGTGTGTGTGTGTGTGTGTGTGTGTGTGTGTGTGTGTGTGTGTGTGTGTGTGTGTGTGTGTGTGTGTGTATGTTTGTGTGTGTGTGACACTGACGTCCGTTACAAAGGACCTTGAAGAAAGCGTGTTGGTGTCATTACAAACTGAATTGGAAATAACGTTATTTTAATATAGTCAGTCGTCGATTGAGGTGGGCCGGTCTAAGGCTTGAAACTCTAGAGCTAAAAAGGAGTCCCACTCCGGCCCTGGCTTAGCCTCTTTATTAATCCAGGGTCGCCACAGTGGAATAAACCTCCATCTTATCCAGCACATGTTTTACGCAGCGGATGCACTTCCAGCTGCAGCCGTTCTATGTGAAAAATACATACACACTCATTCACACTCATACTGTACACTCATGCATACACAATTTAGCCTACCTAATTCACCTGTACCTCATGTCTTTGCACTGTGGGGGAAACCGAAGCACCTGAAGGAAACCCACGCGAACGCAGGGAGAACATTCAAACTCCACACAGAAACGCCAACTGACCCGCTCAACCAGCGACCATCGAACCAGCGACCTTCTTGCTGTGAGGCAACATCACGACCTACTGCGCCACTGCGTCGCTTACTAAAACTAATATTGAATTTTAAAAATGTGTGTGTGCATGTAAAACAATTTGCACAAAAACCTTATGGGGATTTTCTTTAAAGAAGTTGTTAGTCCACCTAGTTTAGAGCATCTTTATAGACATTTTACATTATAACTAATGTGGTTCAAATGATGGATCTGCAACAGAGAATCTACAGTTTTGGGAAACACTCATCACTACATCGTTCTTTTCCCAAGCGATGCATCGTACTAGTTCAGCCATGAGTTATGTTGTTGTTTGGGAAATGCACCCTTGGTCATTCTCCTCTGACCTATGGCAAATTTTCCTACAAACTAAATATTTTCTGTTTTTCAGATGTTTCTCTGTAAATCCTAGTGTTGGTTATGTGTGAAAATCCAAGCAGATCAGCATTATCTGAAATACTGAGACCAGTCAATACTGTATTAAAGTCACGTAAATGATCTTTGCTTATCATTCTGAAGGCAGATGATCTTGACTACGCCTGAAAGGAAAGTGATCAAAGCTTCTGATTAATTTCATTTAACATTCATTCATTCATTCATTTTCCTTCGGCTCCTTATTTATCAGGAGTCGCCACAGTGAACTGCCAACTATTCAGGCATATGTTACGCAGCGGATGCCCGTTGGCCCGTCCATGCCAACACAGGGAGAACAAGCTAACTCAACACAGAAATGCCAACTGATCCAGCCGGAACTCAAACCAGAGAGGCGACAGTGCTAACGACTGATTGATTGATTGATTGATTGATTGATTGATTGATTGATTGATTGATTGATTGATTGATTGATTGATTGATTGATTGATTGATTGATTGATTGATTGATTGATTGATTGATTGATTGATTGATTGATAAAACTTGCCAGAGTTACTGCATTGTGTCATGTGACTGAAAACTATGTATGTGTGCGCAGATTCCGTTTGGGCCTATTGATGACCTAGTCTTGGCTTGAAAAAAAACTTAGTCATGTGACTGAAAACTATGAATGCACACTCTCTGATTCACTTTCATGCGCTCATCTAATAAATATTTTTTATTCTTTTTTACTACGTTTTATTCTCGTCATATTGATCAAACTTGCCTACAAATATCTTAACAAACAAAGGCATTAAACATGCATCATAATTATGTCGTTAGGTGTGATGCACCTTATCTTTAAGTATTGTCCATATTTTATTTCCAGCTGCATTTAGATGAACAATGTCAGCCTGTTTGACTGAAGGCCAGTACGGCCTGTCCAGATGTTCAGAGGCACATCTGCTCATGGGGAACCCACTAATCCATTAGATTCAGCCCATCTTCCTAGTGACGCAACACAAATGTACACTGCAGCTTGAGCATAAATCTGTATAAGAAGTATAAACCTCTGCAGTGTCACCATGAGAGTGGACTAAATCTCAGAGGGTTTTTGTGTCTGCAGATTATTACGTGTATTTGTGTGTGTGTGTGTGTGTGTGTGTGTGTGTGTGTGTGTGTGTGTGTGTGTGTGTGTGTGGGTGTGTGTGTGTGTGTGTGTGTGGGGTGTGTGGGGTGTGTGTGTGTGTGTGTGTGTGTGTGTGTGTATGTGTGTGTGTATGTGTGTGTCTTAGCTGAGGTGCCTAAAAACAACAACATCAGAAACATCTGAAATGACTAGTTTGTTCCACCCTTGCTGACCTAAAAATACATAAAATTGCATTTGATTGATTGCTTAAAATTAACTGTATCATTTATCATTTGTAATCATTTCAGTTTTAATCATTTCATCAAACCGGCGAGGCAGTGGTGCAGTAGGTAGTGCTGTCGCCTCACAGCAAGAAGTTTGCTGGGTCGCTGGTTCGAACCTCGGCTCAGTTGGCGTTTCTTTGTGGAGTTTGCATGTTCTCCCTGCCTTCGCGTGGGTTTCCTCCGGGTGCTGCGGTTTCCCCCACAGTCCAAAGACATGCGGTACAGGTGAATTGGATAAGCTAAATTGTCCTTAGTGTGTGTGTGAATGTGTGTGTGGATGTTTCCCAGGGATGGGTTGCGGCTGGAAGGGTATCCGCTGTGTAAAAACTTGCCGGATAAGTTGCCGGTTGATTCCGCTGTGGCGACCCCGGATTAATAAAGGGACTAAGCCGACAAGAAAATGAATGAATGAATGATATTCCTCAACCTAATGAATAATTAAATTAATAGTAAGCAATATTTTTTAATGCTATGTTTGCTATGTTTCTTTTAGCATCCAGCTGGAAGTATTTATTTATGTATTACTGTGGTACATACAGTTGGAGGTTAGTAAGTAACTGTACTTAAATTACCTTTCTGCTAAAAAGTAAAGTAAGGGATTACTTTTCATTTTTAGGTAATGTATTTACAATTACATATAATGTACTTGCAATACTTTAAATGAATGTAACAGATGTTTAAAAATCAATTCATGGAAACAGAGTAATTGTAGTTTCATTCATTCATTCATTTATTTTCCTTCAGCTTAGTCCCTTTATTCATCAGGGATCGCCACAGCGGAATGATCCACCTACTTTTCCAGCATATGTTTTACACATTGGATGCCCCTCCATCTGCAACCCAGCACTGGGAAACACCAATAGACACTCATTCACACACACATACACTACAGCTAATTTAGTTTATTCAATTTACATATAGCGCAAGTCTTTGCACAGTGGGGGAAACCAGAGCAGCTGGAAGAAACCCACACTAACGAGGGGAGATTATGCAAACTCCACACAGAAATGCCAACTGATTCAGCCGGGACTCGAACCAACTACCTTCATGCTGTGAGGCCACAGTGCTAACCACTGAGCCACCGTTTCGCCCTGTAGTTTTGTTGTACAATAATATTTTGCACAATAATTTTAGTCCTCAAATGAATGTGTTATTTTAAGAAACCTAATTTATCAAAAAGATTGGACATGCTTTAGAAACAATGACTTGTATAAGAAATAATTTCATGAAAATATAAGGTATAGATTCAGAGAAGAAGAAATGATGTGTATTTACTATAAATGTATTTTGTTGCTATTAAAATATGTAGCATAATCAGCTAAAGAATGTTAGACTTTCAAACCAATATACAAAAGCTTAAGAATGTATGAAATAGAAACTAAGAAAACTGTCAATATATGGTACTCTTTATAAGAAATATGTGCCGGATCCAGTAAAACATGAACACGCATTTCCCTTCAGAACTAATGGAGCGTTTTCTGTAGTTTGCAAAATATGTATTTAATTGTGTGTTGTAACCGCTCCATTTGGCTTGCAATTACTTACCTTTTATAGATCAGTGCTTTTACTGTATCTCTCAGGTTATATCTTTATAGGGCTAGTCACATTTTACATCCAAAACCCACATGCTTCTTCCTTTATCGAAATACTTTTCTGAACTTGCAATCCTATGCCTTTTGCCTTAGCTATGGCCACCATCAGCTGTTTTTCACACGCACAGCACGTTCAATTTTCAAAATAGTTGAACTTTCGCCACTGTGTGGATTTATATTAAATGAACAATTGTCGCTGTTATTACTTGGGGCTAACTAGTAACTAGTAGGCGCAGAAGGCCGCTACTGGCCCATAGCTGATAACCACTGATAACGCCGATGCAATCCAGTGATAACATTCGAATCGGCTGCCCAAATTCAACCAATCTCTAAAATGACTTTTAAAAATCTGTTTGAGAATACCGCAAAAGTATTATTCTTATTTGCTTAAAAGTATTCAAGTTGCTAAAAAGTCTTATCTTGCCTGAGGCACTAAAGAAGACGGAAATGTTGCATCTTAAAAAGCAAAAAATAGGTGCATGATGCCTCTGGCAACTGTGTTTCCACAGTCTGATATTACAGCTTAATATTCAGTCTTGCTCTAAGGCAGATCTGTGATACAACAAATAAAGCGGTTTAAGCTTTCTTTGGAGGTTTGTCTGTTGGAGATGAGATGTATAAAACATCTCACTTGACTGCGAAGTTTTATCTTAGGCTGCACGTCTGAGCACCGAGGAGAGAAGAACAACAGTGCTGTCAACCTCAGCGTGGCTTATTTGTTGCTGTGCTGCTCTGCTGTGACAGGGATAAATGCACAATGCGCTTGACTTAACCCGCTCTGATGTGTCTCTTTCTTATTATGATGATTTCATTTTTTCAGCCTGAGAGAAAAGCTTCTTTAGCGCGGCTAAATATTATCCTTCATTGAGCAGGAAAGAAAAAAAAAGGCACGCACTGCCACATTACCTGGCCTGCTGGATGGCTTCAACCCATTCATCACAGTCAGACTCTTCTTCCGTCCGTAGCTCCAGAGGCTTCTGTCCATCATGGCCGAAGACCACAAGGAAATATTGCTAGAAAAATAGACAGAAACAAATTTTAAAAAGGGACCTACAGTACAAGCCTGCCTCCCTGTGTGTGTACAGGTATATGTGGTATACAGGGACACAAAGTTGAAGACTTACAGTGCTCAGCATATATAAGTACACTCCTCACACATCTATCTTTTAAATTAATACTTCTAATAGAAAGCTATACAATATTTTATGTGCATATACATTATATTAGTCAGTACTGAAGCCAAATCTGGAGCTTATCTAAAATAACTTACGATAAAACTAGTGCAGATAAATTGGTTATAGAAAAAAATTAAGTAAAAATTTTAAAAGAGGAAAAATCATTTATTCATTCATTTTCTTTTCGGTTAGGTCCCGTTATTAATCTGGGGTCACCACAGTGGAATGAACTGCCAACTTATTCAGCACATGTTTTAACCAGCAGATGCCCTTCCAGCTGCAACCCATCTCTGGGATGACATCCATACACGCTCATTCACACTCATACACTACAGACAATTTAGCCTACCCAATTCACCAATACCGCATGTAAAAAAAAAAGGTGTTTTATGTTCCACAAAGTAGGGCAACATGGTGGCTCAGTGGTTATCACTCTCGCCACAGAGCAAGGAGATCACTGGTTCAAGTCCTGGCTGGGTCAGTTAGCATTTTTGTGTGGAGTTTGCATGTTTTCCACATGTTCCTCTGGGTGCTCTAGCTTCCCCCACAGTCTAAAGACATGTGCTAAAGGGGAATGGAATAAGCTAAATTGGCCGGAGTGTATGAGTACAATTGAATGTGTATGGGTGATTCCCAGTACTGGCTTGCAGCTGGAAGGGCATTAGCTGTGTAAAATATGTGCTGGATAAGTTGATGATTCATTCCGCTGTGGCGATCTCTGATTAATAAAGGGATTAAGCCAAAGGGATATGAATGATGTTCTACAAAATGCAATGTTTAATTTAAAATCTGTTTAATTTCTATTACTAGAAAAGCAGACTCTCAACAGAGTTTAAATTAGGTTATATAATATTTATACAAGAACAAACCAATTGTTGAAAAAGAAAAGCAATTAATTAAGGGATTTAGGCATTATTTTGTACCTTATTTGTGCCTAAATTAAACAGTGTCTCCCACGAACAAAACAGCACATGACACCACAAACGGCCTCCTTTTACATATTCACATCAGAGCACTTGTTCTGCATTACAGACTGACAGAAACACCAAGCTTATACTGGCAACACACAAATGCACACAAAATTTGTCCAAAAAAAAAAAAAAATGACATACAGGTTTATGAGAGTCTAAGCACTGTACGGTTTCAGGCCATCTGCAATGCAAATAAACACACGCAACCGCTGAACAGCAGGTGTGAGAGCAGTTGAATCAGCTTTTGTCATAATGACCTGAGGGAAAATTCATATTTTGAGTCGGTTATAGAATGTGTGTGTTCAGTCACGATGATGAGCTGCTTCACACGGTATAGAAGACCACACTTAGAATATCACACATTTAATATCCATTGTTTAGTAGAGACTGATCTTATTTATTGCTTTTTTTAATTAGTATAAATATTTTAGATTAACTTTTTATGACAAGAATAACATGGAAATGTAGAAAAACAATAAACAACAAAAGAATAAAATACAAAATTTTCTACCTCCTATTATAAGTTACTGTTCCACTCAAACTCAAAACCCCGTACACACGCAAACTCACACACGCACATACATACAAAGGCACGCATGGGAACAGTCATATTCAAATGCAAATGTACGTTCTCTTGCAGTTGAAAATTAATCAACTGTAACATTCACCATCAAAACATTTTTCTATTAAGAAATGCAAGCAATCGGGAAGTAGTGTATGAGTGTGAATGAGTGGGTATGGATGTTTTCCAGTGATGGGTTGCGGCTGTATTTGCTGCATAAAACATATGCTGGATAAGTTGGCGGATCATTCCGCTGTGGCGACCCCAGATGAATAAAGGGACTAAGCTAAAAAGAAAATGAATGAATGAACATTTCCCATTATTCATTCATTCATTCATTTTCTTCTCGGCTAAGTCCGTTTATTAATCCGGAGTCGCCACAGCGGAATGAAACGCCAACTTATCCAGCTTGTTTTTACGCAGCGGATGCTCCTCCAGCGGCAACCCATCTCTGGGAAACATCCACACACACACACACTACAGACAATTTAGCCTACCCAATTCATATCTACCAAATGTCTTTGGACTGTGGGGGAAACCGGAGCACCCAGAGGAAACCCATGCGAATGCAGGGAGAACATGCAAACTCCACACAGAAATGCCATATCTATGTGTATAAAGTAGCTTTTGTAAATTGAATTTGATACACACACCAAAATGGGACATCATACAAATGACATATACAAATTTAGAGTGTTCAGCATAAATGAGTATACCCCATTTTGAAAACATATATTTTATCCACTTCTCAGGAAATATAAGGAATAATGGTGGGTGCATTTAAACAATACAATTTTCTTAAACAGTTATACGCATTAAAATAAGAGTTTGATCACCAAACATCTTTAGGAATAAAAAGAGAATTCATTTAAATTAAAAAAAAGTCATTGTAAAAAAAAAAGACTTCTCCTGATTTTTCCTGTTTATTAAAATGTTATTTTATATTTTCGTCTAAAATATTTAGTTTTGTGTCATAATTTTTGGAAATTGATTTTAAGTTGTTTTTTTTTTTTGTGAGATTAGTTTTTGCTTTTGCTACTGACTAATCTAATGTATATGCACAAATATTATTGTAAAACATCCTGAAGAAAACATAATTTAAAATAGAGATCTGTGAGGGGTGTGCTCATTTATTATTTATGTTGAGCACTGTATACTACTTTGTTTTGTTTTGTCCCAAATGTTTTGGGACAATCCCTTAAACATTTAATTTAGATGTTCGAATCACTTTAGGTGTATAAAATCAGGTTTTTATGCATGCAGACTGCTTCTACAAACATTTGTGAAAGAATGGGTTGCTCTATGGAGATCAGTGAATTCAAGCATTGCCTCCTGTGCAAAAAGTCCATTTGTGCAATTTCCACAGTCAACTTTTACTGGAATAACAAATTAAAAGCAACAGTAAACAACAGCAACTCAGCCATGAAATGTTAGGCCGCTTCAAACTCACAGAGTAGGATCATTGAGGTGTACAGCGAGCACAAGTCATCAACTTTTCTTCGGAGTCAAACGAGACCTGCATTAAGACCACATAGACAAACTTCATGTGGACTCGAGATTAGCTCAGGAATAGTGCATAGAGAGCTTTATGGGTTTCTATGGCCAAGCAGCTACATCCCATGCCTTGCATTACAAAGTGCAATACAAAGCAGTAGATGCAGGAGTATAAAACACAACGCCATTGGACTCTAGAGGCAGAATGTGATCTCTGAAGTGATGAATCACACTTCTCTGTCTGACAATTTCAAGGGCTGAAACTGTTACTTGGTGGTTGTCAGGAAAATAGTACTCGCCTGACTGCACTGTGCCAAGTGTAAAGTTTGATAGAAAGGGGGTTACGATGTGATGTTGTTTTTCAGAGACTGGGCTTGGTGCCTTATGCAGAGTTCAAACTGCACCATTTTAGCACGAGTTTTATGAAATCACAGACAAACACCCAAAATCAGAGGCAAGCTGATGCTTGTTCACACAAGTGACAGTCGCACAGTGTGAATTATCAAAGATGTGATGTGAGACAATTGCCAATGTGTTGCTGATGTCCGTGAAATATTTGGAATGCTAAATATCTGGACCTGTCAACGATTCAAAGCCATCATGTTGAAATGAGACTGAAAAACACATCAGCGATAGCTTACAACCAATAAAAGAGCGTGATAACAATAACATTTAGTAAAGTTTCACAAACTAATTTCGGAAGGAGCACATGATAGGGTTGACTGCAGCTGATTTTTATCACTAAAAACTAACTAGCCAATCGGATCATTACAAATTTAAAATAAATATCCAGTCTAAACTTTATTCCTCAACTTTTATTTTTCCCATCCATCCTTTCTGCTCCCTCCTTAAGTGTAAGATCGGGCGATATGGTGGCTCAGTGGCTAGCACTGTTGCCCCACAGCAAGAAGGTTGTTGGTTCAAACACTGGCTGAGCCAGTCAAAACTCTCAGAGCGAAGTTTGCATGTTCTCCTCATGTTTGCATGGGTTTTCCCCGGGTATTTCGATTTCCTACCACAGTCAAGACATGTAACAAAAAAAGTTGCAAAGACCTATTATGTAAACACTGGCACAGTTGTCAGTCTATTTTTGGGAAGTTATCGAGAACTACCTGATCTCGTATCCCTCCTAATGCGACAGTGCGAGCTACTGAGCCACTGTGCTACAAATTACTTAATGCATAAAATACTTATTGCAGAGTACCATTTTACTCTTGCATGAAGTTTAGCTTTTTTCTGTAAACAGAAAAAGCAACTGGATGCTACCACAGATAGTCATGCATTGTGAAAACAACAACCCAACATTTTTTGAAAATTATGCTGTGTGAGCTCACCACAAGTCCAAGTAAAAGTGAGTCCTAATGCTTCAGCATGCCATTATCATTCTCCCAACTTAGCGTAACAAGTGCACAAAGCAAGGTAAATAAACATGAATTAGAGAGTTTGGAAAGGAGGAGAATGACTGACCTGCACAGAGTCCTGACTTCAATCTAACAAAACACATATGGGATAAATTAGAGCAGAAAATGTGAGCCAAGTTTTCTCATCCAAAATCAGTTCCTGACTTCACAAATATGCTTTTCGAAAAAAAAAAAAAAAAATCCCACACACCTTTAAACACCATTCTAAACCTTGTGGAAAGCTGTTGAGCAGTTGAAGCTGTTATAGCTGCAAATGGAGGCCAATTCCATATTAAAGTCTACAGATTAGCATTGAGATTTCATAATAGGCACTGTAATGTTATAGCAGAGAAAGCTAAAATGCGATCCAAACGCTGCTATCTCCACAGAGCTTGTTCTGTTTCTGTTTGG